ATGGAATTGGCAGTTTGCTCCATGAGTTCCAAAGACTGCATGTTTCACAACTGTGAGAAATCCCCTGGCAAAGAAAAGATTGAAGACCATCTACAACCTTACATTACCACTGATGAATTGGAATTCAAACAATGGGTGAGTACAGATAGATGCACTCTTGTCACCATGAAAAGATCTGCAGATGAGTTCATGCAAACTCTGACTAATGATATCTTCAACCTTACAAAGCATCATTACCTGTCTAAAATACAAGCAGAAAAATTTGAATCAATGAAGGAAGAAATCACTGGAAATGAAGGTATTCTACAAATGGACTTTGCAGAAAATTTTAGTTTTATAATTCAGGATGAGGTTCAATCGACTAATAGAATATTAGTCGATTCTAAGAAATTCTAAGATCTAAGAAATTCTAATCATTTCATAACAATTTTATCGATTGATACATTTTTAAAAATCCTTTTATAGACCATTTAAAATTCTACTACTTAGAGTATGTTATAATTATTATCTTGACTAGTCTGATAAAATAAATCATGCATTCTATTTCAGGTGCTTTTACGTTTCGTCCGAATTTATCCAGTCTGAATCACAGAAACTAAAGGATCGTTTAAAAGGAATCCAATCTGTAAAAGGAATTCGTTCATTTCATCATATTATCCCATATTCAAAGTGTACAGTTGCCGCGTTTCCAACATCTAAATTTGGTGTTGATGATGAAACTGTGTTTCATCTAGGAGGCAAACAATGTGGTAATGACTGTCTTGTTTCAACCAACCGACTAACCAACCAAAAGAACATGGTTGAGATAAGTAATTGGGTACTAGTTGACTATTTTGGTGTTGACTATTAAGCTGTTTGGAAAAGGTTGTCACTCATTTTAAATACCCTATTAAAGACGATGTGCATCCCTATTCTATTGATGACATTGTTGCCATTGTTAATGAACCAGAACTTGCGAATATATGAGGGTTTAATTCATATTCTGTGAAGCAGTATTTGAAAAAGTAGCAACAGAATGACATTATACTGTATTTGAAAATATATTAGAAAATTGTGTGACTGTTAATGTATCATATGTTGTTCATTTGAATTGATTATAAACTACTTTTGCATACTTTAACATACCTACCATATTTGAAATTATTGTACACATGCATTGATTGACCAAAATAGTATTGTACATAAAATAGTGTATATGTTGTTCATGTATATTGATCATAAACTAATTTTGCCTTAGTTTACCATACCATATTTGAAAATATTGTATACATTTCCAATTATGAGCATCCAGCAAAAAAAATCATAGTTTGACCTAATGTATTTTTTACACAACATTTAAAAAAAGAATTATTTTTTTAGCAAATGTAAGACCTACCACTAGAGATTTATCACTGTTAATTTGAGACCAAATGGTATTACCAGAAAAAATCTATAGATAATCAAAAATTGGCAAAAATAACAACAATTGGGTACCAGGCAATATTCAAACTGGTTTGATGTAAATCTAGTTTTGAAAAAGCTCTATATTCTTTGCTACACAAGTTAGTCATATAGCAATGAAAAAAATATATAAGTAAGTTATAACTTTTTATTTACTAGAAAGCTCTACCAATGCATCAAAAATTTCAAATTATCCACAAAAATGCCATTTAACCTGTTTTAAGGGGGTCACAAAATTTTTCTAGTATTAAAAAAGTGAGCTATTGTTGTATTTTTGTAAACATTGGAACCTGTATAAACAGTTTTTAAAATATCAATCACTTGTTTATTACCAGAAAAATGTTATAGGCATTTAAAAGTGGCAATTTTGCAAATTTCACAAAAGTTGCATTTTTTGACTGCTCGACACCTTATCTTTGATTGGTCATACCTCAGCAAATAAACAAGGTACTGAACTAATATTTCAGATTTAAACATTTAACATCATGGGTAATAACTGGTAAAAAAAGCTAAGGAATCCAAGAAAGTCAGCCACAAAATTTCTGAAAAGTGTCTAAATTCTACTGTTTTGACCCTTTATTTTACGCAAGGACTTTAAATAAAATCAAAAATTAGTTATGATTGTTTAAAATAAACACATTATGCATAAATGAAATGTTATATTTAATTTTTAGTATTTAGTTTTTTAGTAGGTATGTATTTTTTATGATAAATTTAAATGTTTGAAACTATTTTTCCATGTCTTTCTAAAAATCTTTTAAAAGATTATTTTTTTTAAGTTACTTTATATTATGAATAAGTTAAATTCCCTGATTTATTACTTTTTGTTTCTTTTTATACAAAGAATTGCTCAAAATTTTTTTAAACTTGATTTATATATATATACATACACAGCATGGAAAATAATGGCCGGTCAACAATCAACAACTGTCTAAAACTGCCTAATTTGAAAAATGCAAATACATCTTTGTTTTTATCTTCTCTGAAATTTTGCCTCAAATTGTAATAAATGAATTAATTATAAATAAATTTGCTTGATCTTTTTTTATTTATACTACTGCAGCCATTTTGCAAAATGCCTTAAGATGCTTTTTATGTTGCTGTGTTAGCTGTGCACAAGAGTTAACAACATTATTGATTAATAATTAACATTAGTAGTTTTTAAAATGATTTTAAATGAGCAGAGAAATAATATGTGCAATTATTTTTCTTTAACATCATTAACTTTAAAGATTGAAATTCTTATTTTTTTACTATTTGAAATTGTTGTATGTAACTAAGAAATTTTATCTCATAGCTTTTCGCGGCATTTGCAAAATCATTGCAATTTATTTAAAATTATAAATAGCTTCGCTATTTATAATTTTAAATAAATTTAAAATTATAAATAGTGAAGAAAATCAGACGATCAAAAGCATATATTTGAAAATATATTTTAAGCAAAAACTTCATTTTATGTAACATAAAACCGAATTTAAACTTTTTTAAATATTCTATACAAATTGTTTTGATATTTAAAAAAATTCAAAATTAAATTACTTGGATAGTATCAAACTTCTTTTTTTAATTGAAAGGAAATCTGCACACGCAGAATTATTTTAAACTATTAACATTCGGTATTTGCATGTTATTTAATGGTTTTAAAAAGAATACAAATTCGTTAATTTTTAAGCATTATTTGTTATTTTTGTATATATAAAACTCACTCATGATTACTAAGATAAAAATTTAAACATAAAAAAAAATTTTAAATTTGGACTGTCCAAAAAAAAAGAACTGGCTGTCAATTCCATGTGTTATTAATTATTCTGAAATGGCACTAGCTTTATAGTGATTTTCAAGCAATTTTTTCATTTTATTTTATTTTTTCCTGTCTTTAACATGTTTAAAAATTTGATTTTTAGTATTGTGTCTATTATAATTATAAGAATAATTGAATTTTAAACATTGCTATATTTTAGCAATGTGTTGCTAGCCACATATGGTAGCTTTGTAGCTAGCTACAAAATATCTAAAAATCTATAGCCGGTTAGTAGCTACATATCAAAATTTTTTAGACAGCAGTCTACAAGCAAGCTACAATAGCCAGTGAGTTTTTAGCTTATTAAGCTAGCTGTCCTCATAGCCAAATCACTGTCTTTATCTTTACAAATACTGATAGCTTTTTGCTAACTTAAAAAAATCCTCAACTAACTTAACGATTCTCATGGCCATATCGCTGTCTTTATTGTTATGATTATAGCTAGCTATTTGCAGTCGATTTCCCGCCAGGAAGATAATATGTTTTGATTGTATTAATTTTGATTTTTTCTAAGTATAAAACTCAGGGTTGGCAAAAACCCGGGTTTTTTTAAAAAAACCCGGCCCAGTGGGTTTTTATGGGTTTTATTGGGTAAATTTGGGTTTTTTTGGGTTTAATTTTTATTTTATCCCTGAAGTTTCAATTAAACTTTGAACTTGAAATTCAAATGAACAAACTTGTTCCGCTGCGCTGCGGCCTTGTTTATAGAGATTCGTGTTTAGGAGTTAAAGAGTTGAGAGAGGATTGTAACCACAACAAGGTAGCCTCCTTGACTGTTGCGTTGGCTTCTCTGGTCACTGCTACTCATTTAAGTTCAACTTGGGAGGTGAATAACATAAAGTAATAAGAATCTCATTTGATAAAAACATTTGAATAAAATTGTAATAATGTATTTCCAAATAATGATTCAAATAATAGTAAACCTGCTCTGATAGCTGTTATTGTTGGTTATAATAGTTAATAATAATAGTTAATAATAATTTAGTTAGTAATAATAGTTAATAATTATTTTAGTTAATAATATTATAGTTATAATTTTAAAGTTGGTTATAATAGTTAATAAACTTATTAAATGCGGTAGTGGTGTAGTGGTAAGAGCACTCACTTTGTAAGCAAGAGTTCGACTCCCACCACATCCCTGGAAGTACCGCGCTCAACTTAATTTCTCCGCGCAGCGGTCTTGCTTGTCAAGGTTTGTGTTTCGGAGTTAAAGAGTTAAGAGAGGGTTGTACCATGATTTACAACAAAAAAAAAAAAAAAAAAGAGTAGCCTCCTTGACTGTAGTGGCCCCCTCAGGCCTTGGGGAGGTGAATAATTTAAAAAAAATATATATATATATATATTTTTAAAAAAACCCAATAAATCCCAGATTTTCCAGGGTTTTATTGAGTTTTTTTAGGCAGGTTTTTTTGGGTTTTATTGGGGGGGTTTTTTTGGACAGGTTTTTTTGGACGGGTTTTTTAATGCCAACCCTGATAAAACTCCATATAAAGTAGTAATAAACAATCCCCACCACATACTTGGTAGTATCGCACTCACCTCTTTTCTCAGTGCACCGTCCTTGTTCAAAAGATTTGTTTTTCAGTGTTAAAAAGTGGAGATATGGGTTGTAACCACAAGAAAATAGCCTCCTGAGCTTTAGTGGCCATCTCAGTCTTGGGGAGAGAAATAATATTAAAAAAAAAATTATAACACTTTATATATTTACTTATATATATATTTATATATTATTTTATCTTTTTTAAATAAAATAAAAAAGTTATTAACATTTTTGTTTATTTAGATAGAAAATTATTTACAACATGACAATAGTAGATCACCTCTGCTTGTTATTGGAACAGCTGGTGCTGGAAAATCTGCTGTGATGGCAAAATGTGCAAGTAACGCTGTACAAATGGCTGATAAGAATGAAATTTTAGTGCCTGTGTAAGTTTGATCTCAATTTATTGCTTTAGATTTCTTACTTTAAGGGATTACTATGTAAAACATTCTTTCATTGTAAAAAATATTTTCTCAATCAAAATCATTGACCAATCAAAATCATCCTAGGCTAGACTTCTAATTGTTTAGGTAGCTAATTAGTTGTGTTTAGCTTTAATTTTTCTTATAAATCTCATAAATGGTACTCTTTAATTCCAGGTTTTAAAAAGTTTAAAACCAAAAAAATTTAAAAACTTCAAAAAGACCTACTTCAAATTAATAGACTGTCTGCCCTAACCTCAGTTGATGTATGTACACTTTTCCCTAAATAGTTCATTTGTACGTATACTCTATCTCTAAATAATTTTGTTGGTAAACAGATCTAAGTATATACTTAGATATATATCTAAGTTGTTAATTATCTTCTTACAGAGGTTTCACAAAATGGAAGATATTTTATCACTTTGTTGGTGCAACACATGGCTCAACTGATCTTGCATTTTTTTTACAACGTTTAACAAAAGAAGTAAAACCTGACTTGAAAGAAACAGTTAGTAATATTGAAACACTAATGCAGTTAACTAACAGTTTGCTAACTAATCCAAATACAGAACCTGTTATATTGTTCATTGATGCTGTTAATCAGGTGATTATTCTGCCTGCAAATTTAGAATCTATTGATCATTGCAAAATTAGAATTTATTGATCATTGAGGTTTTCAACTTTTCAACTTTATTATTTTTAATTTAAAAATTATTATACTTTTTTTTTTTTTGACAGTTAGATGAAGACAAGCAACAGTTCCTTAGTAGATGGCTTCCTGATTGTTTATCACCAACAGTTCGTGTTGTTGTTTCTATGATTGAAGGGACACCAAGTCACCAGATGCTGCGCTCCTTTAATCCATCTCCTATTGAAGTGGTGTGTGGTCCACTTGATATGGAATCAAGAAAGGTTATTTGATTGTAATGCTTTTTATGTAGAACTTTAATTTCAAAATGATAGCTGTGTATGTTATATATGATAAATAATTTTTTATTTTAAATATAAATGAGTTGATACTGTTAAATAAATATTATAGTACTATTGTTATATTATTTATGTATATTTAATATAATAGTAGTTATTATTATTCTAATTTTTAACAATATGTACGAGAGTATATATATATATATATATATATATATATATATATATATATATATATATATATATATATATATATATATATATATATATATATATATATACATATATATATATATATATATATATATATATATATATAATATATATATATATATATATATATATTATATATATATATATATATATATATATATATAGTATATATATATGTATATATATATATATATATATATATATATATATATATATATATATGTATATATATATATATTATATATATATATATATATATATATATATATATATATATATATAATATATATATATATATTCCTAAAGTAAAGGTCTTAAACTTACCGTTTGTGGTAAAAAAGAGCACTTAGCTAATTTGACTAAATTAGCTAAGTGCTCTTTTTTTTAATTTGAGCTAATTTAATCTAATTTGACAAAATTAAGATTAGATTATAACAAAACACATTAGCTTATTTGAGGAAACTAATTAAATTTATTGTTTTTTTAAAATATCACAAAAATGCAAATTAAAAAACAGGAAGGTTTTAAAAAAACATACTAAATGTTTGTATTTTTTTTTTTTTTTCAAATAAAAACATTCTGAATGTTTTTGTTTTTTTACTGTAAAACAAAGGAGTGTTGTTACATCGACTATATATATATATATATATATATATATATATATATATATATATATATATATATATATATATATATATATATATATATATATATATATATATATATATATGTATATATATATATATATATATATATATACATATATATATATATATATATATATATATATATATATATATATATATATATATATATATATATATATATATATATATATATATATATATAGTCGATGTAACAACACTCCTTTGTTTTACAGTAAAAAAACAAAAACATTCAGAATGTTTTTATTTGAAAAAAAAAAAAAAAATACAAACATTTAGTATGTTTTTTAAAACCTTCCTGTTTTTTAATTTGCATTTTTGTGATATTTTAAAAAAACAATAAATTTAATTAGTTTCCTCAAATAAGCTAATGTGTTTTGTTATAATCTAATCTTAATTTTGTCAAATTAGATTAAATTAGCTCAAATTAAAAAAAGAGCACTTAGCTAATTTAGTCAAATTAGCTAAGTGCTCTTTTTTACCACAAACGGTAAGTTTAAGACCTTTACTTTAGGAATATATATATATATATATATATATATATATATATATATATATATATATATATATATATATATATATATATATATATATATATATATATATATACATATATATATATACTAGCTCTCCAGACCCATAAAATACGGGTCTTAATAAATCTATTCCACACAGACTTTTTCTATACTTATTCCTTATATCAATAGTCATATCAAATTAACAAAGTATAATTCAATTGAATTAAAATAATGAAAAATACACCACATATATTAACTGGAAATCAATTTATTTAAACATAATAACAAAACAAAATACATCATTTTACCTGTTCTTACCTAATTTTTTTTCTAAAAGATTGTTAAAAATAGTCAAAATCTAAAAGATAAGACAACACAAATTAACAAAAACATAAAAGCTATCAGTGCAAACAAATTTGGTAATGTAATTAAAAAATAAAATTATTCATACCTCAATTGTGACAAACTATTTTAAACTATTAGCTAATGATCAACATAAAATTTAGATAATTAAAGTTTACTAAGTTAAAACCATATTTTAACAGTAGACAAAGTAAACTTATGATAGTTAGTAGAGCACCAAAACAGAACTAAAGAAATAAAAAAAAAACTAAATTTAAAATGCTTGTAATACATAATATTTGCAGTTGAACTCTATCATCATGAGATAATAAAGGTAAAATTATAAAAACAAACAAATAAATAAAGATTGTAGTAAAATGTTTATTTTTATTAAAAATGATGATTATTGTTGATTATTAATCACAGAATGTATATCTTTTCAAAAAAAAAAATTTATAAAAGAAACAAAATTCTCACTTTTTTAAAAATTTATTTATTTACAAACAAAATTTAACAAAAATGATCAATAAAATTATTCATATCAAACAAAAATCATTTAACTACATCTTATATTTGTAGATGTAGTTAAGTATTTTCCCACACGCACTCTAACTCCACCTACTTCACTTTCTGTAAGAGTAATCTCTTCCCTTAAATGAAATGAAGGGAAATCTTTTCCCTATTATGGGCCCACACCCTGTGTACAATATAGGATGTGGGCCCTTAGTAACATCTCAATAATGTACAAATGCTACATAAAATAAACCTGAAAATAAAAAAAAATTACAATTGAAATAGCTGAATGATGTTTTAGTTTCATACTTAATTATAAAACCTACAAATTATTTATTTACTAGTTACAGATAAGCGTGGTGCAGCAGCTCTTGTTTTATTAAATTAAATTGAATTAATTAAATACACTTTCTTTCATTCAAAACAAACGTCTTTCATTGAAAGCATTTTATTTTGAATTTTAGAAAATTGAAAAAGACTAAATACAAAAAAAACTCAAATAAAAAAACCCTAACAATTGTAGGAACTGAACCATGGCTTTCTGCATTAGGAGTCCTGCGTGCTATCCACTCAGTTACGCAGGCGTAGTGAAAGCTTTAGCTGTGTGAAAATTTTAAAACTATATAAGAATTAAAAGACTTTATAAAATGGAAATAAGTAATTAAGATCAGATCTTAAGGAGATGTTGCCTGCAATTCAATTTTCAAGTGAAAGTAAAAAAAAACTTAACATATGTTTTAGTATGTTTTAATATTACATAGTTTAAAGTTTATGTTAATTAGATATTTGCATACACTTTTGTTGACCTTTCTTATAAAAAAAAATGCTGTGACTTTTTCTCACTATTACCTCAGTGCAATGGCTGCCAAAAGTACCATGTCAAACATGCTCAAAGGAGCACTGCTATTAAGTTCCTTATTATATTATAATATGGATAGAATAAGGAAAAAAGATGTTGGCAATAATTAATAACTGCTGGTCATAATCTTTTAGAGATTGGCACCTTGCCAGCAAAAAAATTTGATACAAAGGTTTTACCATAGAACAAAGAAACAATGTCAATGATCTTTTGCCAACCTCAAAAACTTTTAGCTTGGCAGTTAGGTCAGTATTGCCAAATGCTGACCCTAATTTTAATAATAATATATATTTATTTCATATTATTGCATTTTTTACATTTATATTACTTATTTAAAGCAATAATGTATATAAAATTTTATACCTTATTAGGAAATTGTTTCAAGCTTATTAGCAGTTTACAACAAGAAGCTGCATAGTACTGAACTAGAAACACTTTGTCAGAAAAAAGGCTCAAGTAATCCTTTATGGTTAACATTAGCTTGTGAAGAATTACGGGATTTTGGCACATTTGAATTATTAAAAGATAAAATTTTTAGTTTGCCAGATGATTTGATTAAGTAAGGATTGTGATGAGTTTTTTTTTTTTTTTAGAAAAGTTTAATAAAATAATATCTGTTTTTGTTAAGGAAATAAATTATCAAAAAAAAGTTAAACAAATTATATAACTTATGATTAAATATTTTGTTTTTTGAGTTTTGTAATTTTTTTAATCAGCTTAGAGTAAAATAAATTTAAAAAATAGTAAAAAAAAAAAATTTTTCTTCCCAAAGCTTAGAGACAGAAGTGTTTACTCGTTTTGAATCAGAAAGTGGTGGTGTACTAATGAAAGCTACTCTTTGTTTGTTAGAAGTCTCTAGACATGGTTTGTTAGAAACCGAGTTATTAGCACTACTTGGTAATTCAAGTAATATACAATACACAGAGTATATTGAGGTTAAACATTTTTATTATATTATTTTATTTAGTTTATTTCAATGTTAATTTATTTATAGCCCTTAAAAGTAGAAAAAATGTTGTAATAAAGTTAAAAATAGAAGTCTTTTAATTATTTTTGAATTTAAAAATAATTAAAAGACTTCAAGTAATTAAAAAGAATTTAATTGTTTTTAATTACTTGTGATTTGTTGTACACATTTGTGGTTTGTTGTACACACTCATTGTTTGTTGTACATGGTTGTGGTTTGTTATAAATTACGTAAAACAAGTTATAAATTATCATAAAACAAGAAAAGTAATTTTTTTTTTTATGCCTGTATTTTAAAATTAACTTATTCTTTTGCAGTGCAGACATCCTAATGCTGCTCTGCAAAAGAATAAGTGCATAAAATGATTATTTGTTTTGATTTTTTACATGGCTGATGATTGCATGAAACTTATAGTTTCATAGAAAAAAGTTGTTTTTTTTCCTATGCAAACTTATGTACACAGCTCCATTAAACTTTATTGTTTTTTATAATATTTATTTTTTTGCTTTTTTAAATGATCTAGAGTTTTGTTTTATTATTATTGTAACACAGCACTAAATATTAATATCACATCATACACGAATATCTGCCCCAGACCTCAAAAGACTTCTGCCCCAGCCGTAACCTTTACTTGATGTAATGGCACTCCTTTGAATGTTCTACCTAATTTTCAGTCAATATATATACTGAAGCCTCTGGTATCAGGTTATTTCAGTATGATGTCTCACTGCTCACATAATTTAAGTTATATACACATAGAGAGAGATTTAATTTTTTAGCTAAGCAATTGGATATCATACTGAAATAGATTGCTGTGAAGTCTTTAGTACATACATCAACTGATGGAGTAGGTAGAATATGTCGTTACATCAAATAAGGGTTTGAGTTAGGGCAGTACCATTTTATCAGATATAAAAACTAGAGATATTTTATGTTTAAAGCAGTGGAGTAATACACAGGAGGTAATAAATTAGTTCAAAAATATCAAAGATAAACATTTTTATAAACTTATTTTTATAAACTTATTTTTTTTATAAACTTATTGTTTTTGACAGTGTTGACTTTTACCCTTCAATAAATGGAAAGCTCTTTCTCAATTCTATTTCCATTGCTGAACAGTGTGTTGCTATCATTAAAGAGAACAAATCTTTAATTTATCATACACATATATCCTATTATTTAACAATAATAAAGTTTGGATAAAAATTAATTTAATGTCATAGCATTTGATTGGAATTTTCCTTTTTTTTTCTTAAAGTTTTCTAGTTTTACAACAAGTTTGACTTTAGCCTGTATAGAGGAGATGTTTTAACTTTAGGCTGCATTTTTATAAATACAGATATTTAAAATTAACAACATTAGTATTTCTACTCAATTTTAATTGTTAATTACTTTGATATTAATTTTTTTTCATTTGTGTCTATTACAGTCATATCTGTAATAGATGCAAAGGAAAAAATGTTGCAACTAAAATAAGAATACTTTTCTTTAATTTAATTAACTTACATTTTCCATCACATCACAAGGTTTTCAACATCACAGTTCCGCAGATTTTTCAACAGAAATATTATCAAAATAAGTTACAGCTGTATGCCATTTGATCCATTCACTTGTATGCCATTTGATCCATTCACAAAATTTCACAAAAATTCACAAAATCAAAGTAAATCAGTTGTTGATTTCTCACTTAAGTGTAAAATTTCAATATTATGTGAAATGAAAAATTTATTACTTACATTAACATTCTTCAATTCTTCATAAAAAAAAATTTAAAGTTCAAAATTGTTTAAGTAGAGACAATAAATGAGACTGATGTTTGGCAAAGTTATAGCTGTATGTTCAAAATGTTTAGATTAAAAGTCAAAAAGTTGTCTGGTTAGGCAAAACCACGATCATTGTTTAATAAATCAATGTAACAATGTTGTAAAGTATTTTAAGATACTTTGAAAAATATTTTGCGCTTAAATGAAAGACTATTATTATTTTTTAATTAAGATTGTAACATAGTTTGCATGTGGTATGTTGAATCTAACATATTTTAAATGAGTTTTTAATAATTTGTAGTTTTTATATGGCATTATATTTGTTTGTCTTGTTGTTTTTGATATGTTTTAGTTTTTTTAATATGCACAATTAATTGTTTTTTTTTATTTTTATTTTGTTAGTTTTGTTAATTTGTTAGTTTTTTATTATGCATATATTATTTTAGCAGTGTAGTGGTAGAGAACTATCATCATAACCAAGAAGTTCTAAGTTTAATCCCCAGCGGCCTTGTTCCTTAAGGTTTGTGTTTTCAAGTTGAATAGTTGAGAGAGGGTCGCAACAACAATAAAGTAGCCTCCTCGATTGCAGCGGCTCTCTTGGTCTTGGGGAGGTTAACATAAAAAAAAAATACAACATTCTTTTTTTCATTTTTTGAAAGTGTGCATTTAATTATAGGGATAAAGATATAATAGCCTATAATTTTGATATTATTTTTATCTAAGATTTTACAAAAGCTGCTTTGTCTTTTTTTTTTTTTTTTTTTGTTTTTTAATTCTTTCAGCATGTATAGGTGATAGTTAATTATTTTAAATTTGTGATCAGTTTGTCTGATTATGACATTAAACTGGTAAGACCTATAAGATTCTATTAGACAAATTTTTAAGGCAAATAAGTTTTGTAGCTGTAAAATAGGAAACTTATTTAAGAGTTTTCTATACCATTAGTAGTGAAAAACTTTGAACTATTATCTCACTTAAGTGTATTTGAAATATAATCTCACTTTAGTGCAGGGGTAAAAGGAGCTTATGAAACTTGGATGGTAGTATTCCTAATGATGGTGTCAGGATAAAAATACTTGATTTCCTGAACTGTATAAAACAAGTTAATACTTGGAAAGGCATGGAAACTAGGCATCTAGTTGTACAAATCTGCTCTAAAACCAAGTTTGTGGAGTTTAAATTTAAGGTAGGACAAGGCAAAACATATGCTGTCTGAAAGACTCGCCAGAAAAATGGCAGTGATAAGATTATTGGATAGGATGAATGTTGGTACAAATTCTTCTGTGTTGTATACAAAGAGGTGTTGGTATTTTAGTAACAAAAAAATGGATAATCTTGTAGTTGAAAAAAGATAGTGAATAAGAGAGTGATGATATTAAGATTAGCAAATCTGATTAGGTTAAGATGTGCTAAATCTAGTTCCATCGAAAACAAGATAAGAAAAGGAAGAATTTTCACATTGTTCTTTATAATAACTTGACAAATGTTTGATAAAATGAGAGACTTAATGTGGAGAGATGAGTGAGCATGTTGGTGGAGCTCTGATGGTTTTGAGAGCATATGTAATAAAAAGAGGGTTTAATCTAAGAAATATTTAAGGGAAAGTTTTGTTTTCTATCTTGCTTTCTTAATCAGAAAGAAAATGAATAAGTAACAGATATAATACAAGGTGAAGCTTGTATTACAAAGCATGATTTTCTTACATGAAATATAGATAAATATATAAATAATAACAATTTAAATATTTTTTGATAACATGAAATTAGTGGAAAGTCTGCACCAACAAAAAAGAGATATTTGTAGAGTGCAGATTTTAGAAATTAAAAGAAGGTAATCATTTTGTCATAATCAAGTAATTATAGAAATCAGATCTGAATGAAATGTAGAAAGTATGTGGAAAATGTAAAAGAATTCTTCCTTGAGGTTTTTGATGAAGTATATGAAAGAAAAAAAAAGTTCTTTTAGACAAAGAAACATTGGTGGATAGAAGAAGTTGGTAAAGATGTTGGTTATAGCTTATATTATATATATTTATAAAAGTTAATGTTACAAGTTATAAGACTTTTTTCCAATTGTTTTAACATTTAACACTTAAAGTAAATAAACATTTAAATTTAACTTCAACATTAATTTTAGAATTAAAATTAATATTTTAAGTCTAAAAGATGAGCAAACAAAAAAATTCTCTAGTACTGCTTGGCTATGCTCAAAGCAAAATAAATCATATCTTAGCCCTATCTCACGAGTTAAAAGTAACGAGTGAGATGCTAGATTTTTAGGACACTTCAGTTTTCCTTTAAGTTTTCCTTTCAGTTTTCCTTTCAGTTCTCTTTTCAGTTCTCCTTTAAGTTTTCTTTTCAGTTTTGCTTTCAGTTTTCCTTTAAATTTTTCTTTCAGTTTATGAATCTATTGTTGTTATTGACATGACCTAAGTGATAAAAACATTATGAAAGGTTTCCTGCGTTTCTTTTTCATTAATTTAACTGAAAGTGTTTGATCTTTACTGCTTTTTTACATTAAATTATTTCAAAGTCTTAACTACCACTAATCCTATAGTTAAACGGTTTCTTAAAAATGTGACTTTAAAAAATACACAAGTTGCATAGTTGCTTGCTACTGCTGTTGTTGGGGGTGAAGAAATATATTGAAAAATATATTAAAAAAGTATTGTTGACTAGCAAAATAAATTAAAGGCATTTTTACAATTATTTTTTACTAAAAGTACAAAAAGTTAGATAAATATTATTGTAGGGAAAAGAAGATGAAGTTTTGGATACCCCTATGGAAAGTATCCGATCAGTCATACCATTAGAGATAACAAAAGCTGAACATCTAGCTGATATATTTTCGAACAATAAAAAAGATACATGTGATGTTAAAGAAATAGAAAATGGAATAAATAACAATACAAGTACTATAAATGTTTCTTAAAATTAGTATTTATTTGATTTTAAGTTTTGTTGTTATTGTTGTTGGTTAATGAAAATATAATTTTTTTAAATCAAGCTCAAATCAGGAGGCAAAAAGGCAAGCAAGTAAATTTTTTGCCTGCTAGAGATTGGGCTATTATCTATCGAAATTTAAAACCATTACTGCGACCATGTGGTGATCTTGGAGAAGGGCGGCTAGACTTTTATCACCGTTCTCTGAGTAAAGCTGTTCGAAAAAAGTACCTTGTTTAGTTTATACAAAAACGTAATAAAATTTCAATTTTGTTAATGTTTGAAATTGCATATGGTATTTTCTTACTATTTTTGTATAAAGGTATTTTCAAGGCAGTGAGGGTTTTACAAAGCATGTTTACAATTATTGGCATGGTGTCCTAGCTAACTACTTTGAGAATGTCGATGATATGGATAGAAAAGCAGAGGTAATAAATGAAAAAAAAATGACTTTTATGTTAGAAATAATAAATTCAATAAAATATAAACAGAAATTTTTCAGTTTTATTTTTTATTAAAACAAATAAATCTTATGGTTCAAAAACTTAATAATTTTAAAGGAGTTACCTTATCATTTGGAGAAACTTTCAGATACTAATAGATTGGTTCAATGTTTGTTGGAATGGCCATTATTTAATCGTTTATATGATGAGGAATTTAGTATAGATCTGCTTCGATTTTGGCAAAAGGTTTGCAAACTATTTATTTTTTACAACAAAAATAAATAATTATAAGTACTGTTTATTTTTAGTTTTTATACTGAAAAGAAATTTTTATACAGAATAGTCATTGTTTTTAAAATGTTACAATTTTTTAGGCGGGTGGTTACTCTGTTGCTGCAATGATGTACAAAGAATCCCTAGAATTACTTAAAGATCAACAAAATAATATTACTTGTTTAGGGGATCAACTAGAAAAAGTTGCAATTTTTTTGTAAGCTTTTCATTCTCATTACTTCTCACTATATACATTATATATATATATATATATATATATATATATATATATATATATATATATATATATATATGTATATATATATATATATATATATATATATGTATATATATATATATATATATATATATATATATATATATATATATATATATATATATATATATATATATATATATATATATATATAATATATATATATATATATTAATATACAATATTTATATCTACTTATATATATACAATATATATATATATATATATATATATATATATATATATATATATATATATATATATATATATATATATCATTTAAGTATAATTGCCGACTTAATGAACGATAATAGTTACAGATTAGAAGCGTTTAACATCATCGATCAGGCTATAGAGGTTTTTACTGAGGTTGGACTTTGTTTAGTTGTCTATTCAATATTGGTTATAGCCTAGCAAAGTTCTATATTATATGTAAATAATTTATACAATATTAATATGAGAGTTAATTTCTAAAATCTTTTCTACGGAATTATAACTTTTATTTTTATTGATTTTTCAGATAAATGATATTGGTCATATTGCTGAAGCAATTATGACAAAATCATATATAAATCCTAGAGAACCTAAATATTACAAAGAAAAAAAAGAGGTTGGTTTTTTCTTTTGTTCTTTGTTTTGATGACATGATTTTTTTGCGATATAAAAATCAAAGTACATCGTTTTTTATAAAGATTGGTCGTGTTTATATTTTTAATTTTAGTCAATTTTATTTATTAAAATGTCGAGTTCACAAAATAAAGGATAATATTTTTTTTACAGCAATTGATAAAGTCATTAGATTATGTCTTAACATTGGAATTTTCTATGAAGATAACAATCAGTTGAACGAGGCTTACGATTATTTTGTTAAATGGAACAATGTTACAATAAAGGTAAACGGTTACCCGTACCCGTAAGCAAGGTAAACGGTTATTCGTACCCGTTTACCCGTAACCATCCGTATGTGTTTTGTATATAATAATGTCAATACAAGTTAATTGCACAAAAACGTTATTACGAGCACGATGACATTACTTTATTTGATCTAAGTTAGCTAAGGACTTTTATTTTTTGTTTTTTCTTATTAGGTGCTAGGTCTGAATCACTCAAAATCTATCAGATGTAAGGAAACGTTAGCGGAACCAGCGTATGTTGCTATTCGAGAAGAAAGAGAAAGACAAGCTGCTGGAATGGCATAAATACAGCAATATTTTTTTTTTCAATGTTTCCTCTTCTCAACTCCAAGTTCAGTTGAATTTCTGTTTTTACTGACTGACTATTAGTAATAATCGAAATGAAGTACTTGATACTTAAAAGAATATATATATAATATATATATATATATATATATATATATATATATATATATATATATATATATATATATATATCTTCAAAGAACTTTTGTATTCAACATTCACGACGCAATAACATGACACCACGACACGATAACATGACACGACAACTAATTCTAATCTGCAATAAAAAATAGGCTTTGTTCATTTTTGTTGTCATTTTTATTTATTATCAATTATTACTTATTGTAACTTATTGTTGGCATTATTATTGTTGTTAGCTGAATAAAGGCTTTGGCCGGACTAGAACAATTTTTGTCAATTGTTGCGGCCTTGAGACGATTGGCACTCAGGAGATGGTTATAGTGCCAACATTGCTCACCTAATTAAGCTCCCATTCGTTTCTTGAATTTGTTAAGATAAGCGTTTAGGGTATTAAAGTATGTAATGTAAGACATTCTGCATCACATTTTGGTAAATTGATTTCATTATGGAATCTGATTCGACTGCACGTTTCAGTTTTGTGATCACCAAAAAAGTTCTAAACAATTGCAACAAAATTAATCCAAACCATTTTCTCCGTTATGTTCAGCAGCTTAACAAACTCGTCAGATTTTATGATCTTGATGTGCAGTTTAACGAAGATACCAGCTTTGACCTCGCATAGCTTCGGAAAGAAATCTTAAAAATATTTAAATCTTATAGATAAAACTACTGACTCTCAGAACCTTTGAAGGCTCTATCAGCTACTCTCATCTGACGTTACTCTTTCATGCAGAGAGCTCACTCCACTGTTGCCAGTCCATTCTGTAGTGCACCTTAAAGTTGCAGCTGTGTCATATATAATGAAAGCAATAAGTTTTACCAAAACGTCTTCAAATTTTATCGGGAATGATGTCATAAATAAAGTTTTCATTATCGTTCACTTGTAATTTAAAATTTTTCTTATTTTACGAATTTTACGATTATTCTTATTTTTCTTGAAGTTTTAACAAAGAATCAAAATCTTTGTTAACATATTGATCATCATCATCAACTTTAGTTACGTCATCTTTATTTGATCTCAAATATCAATTAAAACCTTTTTTTTTACTTTGTAAAGTATTATAGCTAATATATTTTACTATTATATATATATATATATATATATATATATATATATATATATATATATATATATATATATATATATATATATATATTAATTTATAAAAATAAAGAAAACAACTTTTTTTGGTACTAATAGTTTCATTACTAATAGTTTTATATATATATATATATATATATATTATTATTATTATTATTATTACTATTATTATTATATATTTGTATTTTAAATATAGTCACAAAATGCTTATTTAAAAATAATAAAAAGAAAAAAAAAAAAAAAACAGCTTTATTATTAAAATTACAACCGAAATAAATAAAAAAAAGAAACTTTACTAAAAAAAATCTCAATAATTTAAAAAATAAACTATTTGAAGAGTCCTGGAAAAATCTATAAAATCAGGCATTTAATCACTTTACGGCTACTTTTGAATGCATTTTTGATACTGTCTAAAAATAACATTCGAAGTAAAAAATAAAGAATTAAAAAATCTATGGATGACGAGTAATCTTATAAAAATTGTCTAAAAGAAAGCAAAAACTTTATATAAAAATTTTTGAAATCGAAGGATGAAGGTGATGAAAAACATACAAAGCCTACAAACAATTTTTTAAAAAAAATATTAGGCAAGCTAAAGTAATGTATTATTTTAATCTGCTAAATAAAAACAAATTAGACATTAAAAAAAACATGGTCGATTATAAACGAAGTAATTGGTAGGGAAAAAAAAAATCCTTCAACATACCTCAAAAAATATTTTGTAATAATAAATACATTACAAATAAATCAGATATTTACCATGAACCTAACAAACACTTTGTAAATCTTAGTCCCAGTCAAGTTTCACAAATAGTGATGCCAAATAAGAAGTTTGATGAATTTATTGGAAAAAAAACCCTATTGTGTATATCAAATAAAAAATTATCTTATAAAAATATCTTTCCTTTCTACCAGTGTTCTCTAAAGTTTATGAAAAAGTAATCTACAATAGAATTTATAAATACTTGAAGTTAAACAAACTTTTATATGAAAATCAATTTGATTTCAAAAAAGATGTTCAACAGAGCATGCTATCATTGAACTTACTAATAAAATATTTCAGTTTTTTGATAAAGGGGATCATGTACTAGGAGTCTTAAACATAGAAAAACTTAATTTATATCAGATTCTTATTTTTATGTTCAATTATAAAAATAATATGCTACCAAATACTTTTTTAGTCATCATTTTCTCAAAGTTACAATTTGCTAACAAATAGCTTCCATAACTATTATATTAAAAAAACTAAAATTCATTGTTCTGAATTTTTAATTGTGCCACAGGGTCCCAAAATATGGAAAAATCAAAAACTATAAGACTTAAATGGAATATCGTCGTTTAGATGGTAAGCAAAGCTGCATATTCTTATTTTTTAAAAATGATTATAATAAATTAAAAAAAGAATATTATAAAAAATAATATATATATATATATATATATATATATATATATATATATATATATATATATATATATATATATATATATATATATATATATATATATATATATATATATTAATTTATTTTGTCAGTAAAAAAAAAGAATACAATGTCGTGTAATATAAATAAGATCTACATGACCGGGGTTAAAAGAAGACAATACTTGCCTTATCACTACCCCCCGACGTGCTTTCATAAGGAAGCGTGTACAACCATTAAAAGTTAAACATGCAATTACTTTGTGCCATTTAAAAAATTATATACAATTATTTACAAGTATGTTAAGACTAGTTACTAACCTATAATTAAAAGAAAAAAAAAAAATCAAAACTATAGATAAGCTAATAGGATAGTTTATAGAGTTAATAAGATAATTGTTAAAAATAAAGAAAAAATAAAAATAAAAAATTTTTAAAAAGAATTTAATTCATTATTATCGTTAATTACTTTTTGTTTCAATTTTATTTTGAATAGGTAAAGAGAAGAACAATTTTTCAGCTTGTCACTTAATAAAGTGTTCCATAATTTAGGACCTCTTATAGCAATAGAAAATTTGGTAGCCAAATAATGCATTTTAGGTTGCTCATAATTGTACTTAGAAAATCTTGTAGGGTACATGTGATTAATTTTATTGAAAAGTGTACTAAATATTATAGGTGATATTTTATTATGAAGTTTGTACATAAAAATAAGAATTTGATAAAGGTTTAACTGAAAAACATTGAGTATGTGAAGATTATTAAATAGTTCTTTAGTATGTGTAAATCGACCTGCATTTGAAATAATTCTGAAAGCATGTTTTTGTTTACTAAGCAGTTTTTTAATTTTACTTGTATTAGAGCTGCACCAGGCAATGCTTGCATAGTTTATATATTAATGTATGAGGGAGAAATATAAAATTTTTAGGCAGTTTTGGTTTAAAAACTGCTTGGCTTTGAATAGTATACCAATATTTTTTGAAACTTTATTTTCCATTGTACTTATGTGTTCTCTCCATGTTAAGTTTTCATCAAGTATCACTCCTAAAAATTTTATTGATGACTCTCTAAATTATTTTAGAGTTGCCAATATAAAGATTAGGAAGTTTTAGTGGAATGTTTTCTTTATCGTGAACTCTATAAAAAAAGTATACTTAGTTTTATTTAAATTTAAGGACAATTTGTTCGCCTTGAACCACTCCGCTAGATTTAAAAGTTCTTTGTTTATTATTTTAAATAAAAGTTTAATATCTCCATTAGAGTAAAATAAATTCGTGTCATCTGCAAATAAAACAGAGTTTAAAATGTTTGAAAACTTATGAAAATCGTTTACATAAATAAGAAATAAAAGAGGACCCAGAATTGAACCTTGGGGAACACCGCAATTTATTGTCATATAGGAAGATTTTCCTTCTTCGTATGATATGTATTGTTTATATATAATAACAGTATATATATATATATATATATATATATATATATATATATATATATATATATATATATATATATATATATATATATATATATATATATATATATATATATATATATATATATATATATATATATATATATATATATAATAACAGTAGAAACAGTAATTACAAAGCTAATTGCAAAAAAATTATTTCTAAGTTTACTTAATTAACTTTTTATATAGACAAAGATATAAAGAGAATCTGCGAAAAGATTTTTTTTGGAGTTTTATACCTAAAAATGCTGAACCTTCTTTGATTTCCTTTTTTAGGTATTCAAGTATAGAAAAAATAAATTTATATATAATAATTATTATACCAGAGTTTATATTAAAGTTTGCATCAAAACTATATTAGTGTATCAATATTATATTAATGTACTTTTTATTAATCTGATACGTAATAATTTTTGTATATATATTTTTTTTCTTCACGATAATAAATATATATTTTATATGGTATACCTGGAGAAGAAAAATAAATAATAATAATTTCATAATCGGATTAGATAAGCTTTTATCAGATATCAACAAAATTCAAAAAAAAAAAAAAAAAAAAAAAAAAAAATATCTTACGTATTTTTACCTAAAACTAGTTAATTAAAAAATAGCAGAATCGAGTGAAGAGGTTTTGAAAACTCATGGTGAAATTGCTTCCAACAAATATGTTTGATATTTCACCATGATATTCAAATAAAATTTCACCATGATATTCAAATAAAAAGTGGAACTAAGAATTTATTAGTGCGGCCTTGGCGCAGTGGTTAGAGCGCTTGCTTTAAAAGCAGGAGATTCAGGTTCGAAACGAGCTCTGGACATATTTTGGCGTCACGGTAAGGAAAGAGGCGTGAACTTCCTGGTTAAATGCACTTCCGCGGTGCTGTGACAAGACCGTTAGGTCTTCTTGGGGCACCTAAATAACAAAAAAAATAACAAAATACGCAATGTATCGGATATTATTATTGATGAAGGCAAAATTTTGATTTTTAATCAAATATATAAGTTTCAAAATATACTTCATGTTTGTCAAAGAATATTCTCTACCATGCCTGCATCAATGGAGGATTTTTTAGCAAATTAAAATTAATAATATAAAATTGAACATAAGTTAGCAAAAACTGTAAATTATGAAGTTGTTATAGACAACGCCGAAAGAAAAGCTAAGAAAGCAGTTTTTAACGTACTCATTTAACTGATACTATAAAAAAAAAAAAAATTAAATACGTTCCTTTTCAGGACAAATTTAAACACGTTTAATTTTTTAAACAATTTTTCAAGTCTCAAAGTTACTGATCGTCATAAATGTCTTTATTCCCTCTTCTAGGAGCTCTTCTGAAAATGCTTATAAAAAAGGTTCCTTATTGGCAGGAGGGGGTTTATATATAAATATACATTTGACGTGTATAGAGGCCATAAAAAATACAACAAAAAATCATCCTAAAAGATAAGTTCTCTTTACAGTTTTGTAAAAATAAATATAGGACTAAATAATTTTTACATTTTATAACCATTTTAACAATTAGACCATTTTAAACATGTTTTAAATAAGCCATACACTAAAGGTCCAACAAACCATGAACATGCAATTTAGTGGCTAACATTATATAAATCGTTTTAAAAAATTGCTCGAAAACTGACTTAAAAATTGCAAGTACAAAAATTGACTATAAAAATTTTATTATACAACATACAAAATATGACCTATAATTATGCAAATAGCATTCAATCATAATTTAATTATGTACTAATTATAATTTAATTATACACCAAGCATAGCTAAATTTTGCACTTAGCATAATTAAATTATGTTTCGCGCACAATCAAAATTATAGCATCCAATCATAATTTACATATTACAAAGATCACATGAAATCGTTTTTATGCCAAAATTAAATAATTAAAAAAAAGAGTATGAGCGACGTAAAAACGAAATATAGTTAAAATGAATATTTGAAAAAATTCTTCATTTTTTTATAATAAAACAGCAATGTTAACTATCACGTCGACAAGTAGGCACAGGATAATACTCTCTTGCACACAATGAAGTGAACTTTACACCCGTATATGAAAAAGTTAAAATCATGTAGGTAAGGTGTTGTTTCCATTGTAAGGTCCTTCAAAGCGCAAATACTAAAATCAATTAAACAAATACAAAATTCTTATATAAAATCTTATATAATTATATAAAAGAGATAATCACAATATGAATGCTTACTTGAATCACAACCGAAGGTCCGTTAGCAACAATTTCTTGAGGAAGTGATGATAATGGACAAGCATCAATATTCATAATAGTCAAATTTTGACAAAGTACAAGTGTATGAGGAAGTGCGTGCAAGTTTTTATTATCGTTGAGAAAAAGTTGCTCTAGTGATTCCAGAGCTCCTGAAACAATAAGACAAATAGTTGAAACAATAAGACAAATAGTTGAAACAATAAGACAAATAGTTAAAACAATAAGACAAATAGTTAAAACAATAAGACAAATAGTTGAAACAATAAGAAAAATAGTTGATAACTTAATTTTCAGATTACAATTAATGTTTTTTATGGGTAGTTTAATGTCCGAGAAGCAGCTATTGCTAACAGTAGTAAACTAATGATATAAATGAACGAAGTCCCAAATAGAAGTAAAGTTTTTAAAGTCAAAATCACTATTTACTCCAGGTCATTGGTGTCCAGAAGCTCTCTCAGAATATTTAATGTACAATAAATTCTCAGGATATTTAATGTACAATAAATTCAAACTTTGAACATAGAATCCTTATGTAAAAGATTATGTAAAACCTTGTCTAATTCTTATGCAAAACCGGAATTCTTTTAGGAACTTCAACTGCATAATGTACACAAGTTTTTTTAATGACAAAAAAAAAAAAAAAAAAAAGAGGAAAATACACATAATTATACCCCAGTGACAGATCCAGGGGAAGGGAAGAGGGGTGGGGTGGTATGCATCATCCCCCTCCCTCCACCGGAATCTGAAAGTCCTAAAATATCTTAGAACTTGAGGACCTTTTTTTTTTCTTCCAGGAGATGCAAATGTGGTACAAAATACAAAAATATTTTATCATTTTTTTTTTAATTCAAGTCTAATATACGTTTAATATGAATATGCAACAACAAAGAATTCTAATAATATATAATAAAAACAATAATATATATCAGCCAAAAATCTCTTAATGTTTTTAGAATAATAAAAAAAACCAAAGTACTATTTTAATAACAAATTTATAAATTATTAACATTAATTTTGTAGTGGATTGTTTAATTAATAACATAAATTATGTAGTGGATTGTTTAATTATAAAACTTTGAACTAATTTTAAACGACAATTGAAATTATTGAAAACTATCAAAAATTATCTCATCGAACTAGTAAAGCCTTAAAGACTAAAATAAAAACTAAATAAAAATGAATTTCACTTTTTCAAATTAGAGAGAGCCTGAAATATTAAAAACAGGAGTTGGGATTTAATTAGGCAATATTTTTAGGTTCATTAAATCTAATAAAAATCTCTCTTTGTTGTGTTAAAGAAATGTATTAGCATGTAAGCTTACTAGAGATAAAAAAAATAAAAATTAATCTCCAACAAAAGAAAGTTCAAACATTAACTTTAAAGACAAAAATAAAAATTGAGTAACTATAACAACACTCTGCTAAAATCAGCTTTTTAACACAATGAAAGAAGAGTTGTAATGGAAGGAGAAAGAAAAAAGTTGACAAAATACTTAAAATACAAAATACTTCAAAAAAACTAGTTAGGAAAAGCTGAATTCATAAATATTCATAAAATAATTCAAAAAATAAATAAAATAATTCATAAAATAAATAAAAAAATTCATAAAATAAATAAAAGATTTTTAAGTAAGAAGAAACAGTTATAGTAAAAGAGTGCAACTTGCTGAATGATGAGCCATGATAGTATTTGAAAAAATGCAATCCAACCAATGACAAGTCAGTCACTCGAGATTAGCAATTAAAGCAGTTTAAATACATTTATTAGAGACAGTGGAGAGACTTTCGGCATTGAGGATGCTTTTTTATAACAAATTTTATAAATAAATAAATTAAAAAAAAAAAGAAAAAAAGAATAAAATAAGAAAAAGAAAAATAAATAAAATAAAAATAAAGAGTGAGCAAAAGAAAAAGAAAGAATAAAAAAACAAACAACACAATCAAAAAATTGAAATCCAAGTCAAACAAATTAACCAAAGAAAAAACAAACAAGAAAAGAAACGAGAAAAGAAAAAGGAAAGACAAAAAACCAAAGTTTAAAAAAAAAACATTGAAAAATGGAAAGTAATTAAAAAGAATTAAAACATGAAAAAAAAATTGAGGGATGATATGTGTTTGCTGGGTATTATGATATGATTTCCTTTTTTATTTGAATATTTTCTTTATTATAAAATCTCTATATTTTTTGTGACTTTTCGTGAAATTTCAATGTTTGTGCGGTATGTTTGATTGGATGGTAAATATTGAAATTATTAATAGCTACTGGTGAATGTAATTGTTACATTCATATTAATAATCCTGATAATTTTACTTCTGAGCCAAACAAATAAAAAGAGAGTGCTTTCTATCCAGGACACATTTCTACTGCAGTTAGGAGTAATTCTTATATTCTAACTTTAATAACAAAAAACTTCCAAATATACCATAGAATAGAGCTTATAAAAAAAACCAGCATGCCAGATATTATCAAAAGCTACTATGTTAGGAGTCCTTGCTTTCTGGCTTTTAACTATTACACAATAAAAACCTTCTATTAATAGGGTTTAAAAGTAAAATTTTTAAACTCAAGGTGATATATTAGAAGTTAATTAATTAAAGATTCAAAGACCTTGCAAATAGTAAGAAGAATGATTGTGCGATGAAAAGAGAAGTAAGTTAATCTCTTTTAATGTTTTTCTACAAAAGAATTTTATAAAAAAGAAACCACTTATCAGTGATAAGCGATGACCACAGATCAGTGATAACATCGCTTCCAACAAAGCTGCAAGCAACCACTATTAGAGTTGGAAGTTACTGGAAGAGAAAAGATGAAGATTGTAGAGCAAGATAATGATTGACAGACAACTTAAAAGATTGCAAATTATATGAATCAGGAAAGCAAGATGAAGGAAGCGAATTCCAAAGAACTGATGTTAGAGGAAAAAAACTAGACGAAAAAGAGTTTTTGGAGCACTTAGGAACAGTCACAGAAAAAAGGATGAGACTTAATTGAATGACAAGTAACACGATAATGAATTTTAGTAGATGATACAAGAGAGGCTAGCTCTTTGTGTTCGGTAACATAAGCGATGTAATGTAAGTTAAATATGTAGTATCAAAAAAACAAGTTTATTTTCCTTACCCGTTCAAATGCTCGAGACACATGGCATTAGAGCAGTGCCCATTATAGTATTTGTAGAAAAGAGAAAAAGAAGCAACATTACGACAATGTGATAACGGTTGGAGGTTGGCTGCAAGAGCAGGTCTAACTATGTTTACAATGCGTTTTTGCATTTGTCTAAAAGAGAGAGCCTCAGATATGGCAACAGTATTCCATAAAAGGCCAGATTTGAGATTTATAGAGATTAGAATCCAGAGTAAGAAAGTGTCAAGCTCGATAAAGAGATGCAACCTTAAAAGATGCTAGTTTTGCAACAGATTTGATATATGGTTTCTAAGAAAGATCAGAAGAGTTAATCCTAGAAGATAAAGGGTAGATGACTCATCGACATCATACATTACCATTCATAAATATAGGAAGATCTACATTAATGCGATAACAATTGGCTGAAAAAAACTGAGTTTTATATAAATTAAAGTTCACCAGTCACTGTGAGCCCCATGCTGTAGCAGAAGTGAGATCCATCTCAAGCTCAGATGGCCCCTCCAAGCAATCAGAGAGTGTTGGCTTCTTATCATGACAAGAATAAATGGCAGTGTCATCAGCGAACAATGTCACCTTAGATGTGAGAATATCTGGAAAGTTGTTAATGTAAATTAAAAAGAGTATAGGGCCAAGAATTGAACCTTGAGAAACCCCTGAAGTTACAGGATATGAAGAAGAGTGCTGTCCATCGACTTTTATACTACGCTTGAAAAGCGAGTTGGAAAGTTAACTTTGAGTTAGAGATTGAGAAGAAGATTGAGGACCTTAACACCAGCAGAATCACTAACACTAGAGGCAAGCCATTCAGAGTGATGGGTATTAAAGTCACCAACAACAACAATATTAGCTGGTGGATAAAAAGAGAGGGCTTGGTCAATTTGATCAGAAAATTTGAGATGAAGGAGAGTGATATAGAACAAAGAGAAAGGCAATAAAGTGAAGTGGTGCTAAGCAAAAGCACATAAAAGAATAGTCTGTGGACTCAAACCTAGTTTCGCAACAAATGGGTGAATTCTTATGAATGTAAATGCCCAGGCCAAGCATGTGACTATTGTAGTCTTAATAAATTAAAGGAAGATAACCATCAACACTAAGATCACAAGATGAGACAGCTGAACTCAAATTAGTCTCACAAAGAGCAAGTAGGTCTGGTGAACTTTGCAAGAGATTAGACTCAACAGAAGAAAAGTTACTTCAAAGACCATGAGTAAATGATAGATTTAAAGAACTTAGTGATGATGATAGTTTTTTGCGTTTTATAGTTTTTAGTACATTTGCAAAAAAAAAAAAAAAAAAAAGTTATTTCCCTTAAATTTGTTTTAATGTTGGTTTAGCTGATGCCTTTCTCAATTTTTTCTTACTTAAAAAGCTAATAAACAAATGTATTGCAAAAACATATATTTAAATTCATATTTAAGAAAAACGTTTGAAAATTCAGAACAACTAAACGTCAACATTTAGTTTTTATTGAGAAATATTTGGAACTCATATCCAAAAAAACTCAGGTTATATCCAGAAAAACTCAGGTTATATCCAGAAAAAGATAATCCTTACAGAGATATCCTTTTCCAGCAGGAATTTAAATCGTTTAATTCAATAAACCTTTAAAGATTTTTGGCACAAGATTTATTAGCAAAAAAAACATGTTGTATAATTGGTAGGTTATGATTTAGCAGGCTACGATTTAGTAGGTTATAATTTAGAAGGATATGATTTTCTGTTATGAATGTTTCAATATTTAACCTTTTTTCTTTATTTTAAGTATTTTCCAAAAAATGAATGTTCCTAAAATTAGTCAACATTTCTCTCAATTGATCACCATATTTAAAATAGGATTTATATTTAATATCTATTTTTAAAAAAAGTGACATTAACTGAGTTATTAATAACTATAATAATGTAATTATTGGCACTTACCTAATTCTAAAGGAAGTACTGCAACAATGTAATTATTGGCACTTACCTATTTCTGGTGGAAGTACTGTCAGATCATTCTCACCAACACTTAAGTATGAAAGTTTTTTTAAATGTCTAAATTATTTAAAAAAAGTAATCATTGTGGATTTAATTATGAACATTTAAAAATAATTTATAAGAATTATAATATGCATTGTATTTTGTTTGAAAAAATTGATTTAAAAATACCCACCCAATAGTAGCTGGTAAGGTAGCAAGTTTGTTAGATTGCAGCAACAGCTTCTCAAGGGATTTTAAATACTCTGAAATATAAAATTTTTTAATGAAAACACAATAGCTATTTAAAATTAAAATCAAAGTTATAGTCCTAAACTGCCCTCCCCCTCCCCTAAAAAAACCTTTTTTTTAAATTTATTATATTTAAATATATATATATATATATATATATATATATATATATATATATATATATATATATATATATATATATATATATATATATATATATATATATATATATATATATATATATATGTATATATATATATATATATATAAAACATATATATGTATGTATCAGGGTGTTAACTGGCCCAATGGCGTCACATATACCGTGGAACAGCCAATTTTCAATGACCGTTTTTTTTAAAAAAAGTAATAGCATAATATCAATAGGATAGGATAATTTTGGAGAATAATAATAAATATTCCTAATATCACAAAAACGCGTAGAAAAATATATTCTTAGCTAACACCCTGTGTATGTATTTTTTACTATTTATTTAACAACATATTTACCAACTAAAATCAAGAAACATTTGAAAGGAAAAAAAAGCTTTCATAATACCAATTTCATTTGGAAGACATTCCAAATTATTTTCATCAAGATCTAATACCCTTAGCTTGCGAAGATTCCCAATAGATCGAGGAATCCTCTAAGAGAAAATAAGATTTATTAATTTTAAAAAAAAAAAAATTTTAATTGTAAAAAAAAAAAAAATGTATCAAATAGAAAAGAAACAAATAAACACCTTAAGTTGATTGTTACTCAAAATAAGAACTTCTAAGTTTACCAACCACTTTATATCATCTGAAAAAGTTTAACTGCATATATAAACATTAAAAAAATAAAACAAAAGAAAAACAATTAAAAATATATATAATTTATCTGCATAACAAATCTTTATTGCATGTCCGCATTTTAAAATTTGTCTCCTACTAATTACATTATTTAGTTTTTATTATTTTTCTCTTACTTTTATAAAACACATATTAATATTAAAATATAATTATATAAAAATTATAATTAAGCACATATATACTGAATGATGAAAGTATTTAAAAAAACCTTTTTCATCATTACTCAAAAATACATTTCAACATTAAGATTGGAAAACTTTTTAAATTTGAAAAAGTGTAAAATAAAAAATCATGTAAATCATCAATCCCTAGAAATTAAAAGATCAAGAAATTATGTTCAGTAGTTATTTAGGGGTAGTTGGGGACACTAGCTTTAGAATAAAAATAAAAAACCAACACTTTCTTGTGACCCGCAAATTCTAATTTTGCAGGAAATTATCTAGACATTTTAATGTTTCTTGTTTGTTTTTTGTTGCATATTTTATAACTTTATTTTTAAGAACAATAGTCACTCAATAAAAAAAAAATATTTTTACCAATCACGTCATCCCTATTTGGAACATACTTGTTGTATTATGTCAAACAAATTTGCTGTTTGATGTCATATTAATCAAAATTGTAAATTATAAATGAATGACTTTTGTACATAAATTATTTATAAAAATGCATAGATGTTACTTCATAGATTTACACATAGATATTATTTTAAAGATTTATTTAATGTACTAATCCTGTATTAAGGTTGATAAAAGTCTTTAAATGTGGTGAAGACACCTTAAAAGATTTTTTCTCTCTATAATAATAATATAGTGTATAAATTTATATAATAAAATAATGTATATAAGTATAAATTTGTGTATAGATAAGATGTCTGACATGTCACTCTAAAATAGCCTGCTACTGGGGGTTTCAGTACATACATCAACTATCTAATAGCCTGCTACTGCAAAGGAGTGTTGTATGACTGAGTGTTTGGGATGGAGCAGCAATTGTTTCTTTCATTATTCTTTTTTTAAAAAGGCGATAGAAGCAAAACTAGTAAGCAATAGCTGATATATATATATATATATATATATATATATATATATATATATATATATATATATATATATATATATATATATATATATATATATATATATATATATATATATATATATATATATATATATATATATATATATATATATATATATATATATACAGTATGGTGCAAAACTGAACCAGAGTTTTTAAAAAATACAAAATTATGGTTTATTTTGTTTTTCGAAATATTAGCGCTGTCGGGATGATTACAGTAGTAAAGTGCTAATTTTTACGACTTTTTATGCCTCTTCCTTTTACCCCAATGCACAAGTATTTTTATCTGGTGACAAACATTTTTTGACTCAGTTTTGCACCATACTTAATGAAGGCAATATCTTTATTATTTTTCTGAAATTAATTTAATAATTTTGTGCGCAAATCAATTGACTATATTTATATCTAAAATAATTTTCTATTTTCATAAATTTTATTGTTTAAATTCATTGTTTTTGATAGTTTTTTTAATATAATGGGAATTTCAAAAACAGAGAATGATTTAATAAAAAAGATGATCAAAGAAGGAAATACATCTTGTAAAATTGCTTCTAATTAAAAGTTAGTTAAAGTACTGTGCAACGAATTAGAAAAAAATGTAGACATATTCTAAAAAAAAATGTTGGCGGTCGACCAAAAAAACTGAGTGCAGTAGACAATAGAAGAGTAATTAGATATTTGACTACTGGAGAAGCAAAATCGACATCTCATGCAGCTAAACTTTTGCAATGTGATATAGGAAAAAATGTGAGCAGGTGGACAGTGCAGCGAGATCTCATAAAAATTAAACTTCGAGCAATTGAAAAGAAGAAAAAACCATTACTCAGTAAAAAAAATATCATAGCAAGATTAAACTTTGTAAAAAAATATGAAAACTTTACCGAAGATGATTGGATGAAAGTTATTTGGTCAGATGAAAGTAAAATTAATCGGTATACCACTGATGGCCGCCAATGGAGCTGGAAGAGAAGATGAACTATTAACCCAAACAGACAGTAAAACATGGGGAGGCAATAATAAACTATGGGGGTGTATGACGGCTTATGGATTGGGACCAATTCGAAGAATAGTTGGAAACATGAATAAGGAAATGTATCTTGATATTTTACAGCACGAATTATAGGAAACTGTTGAAATATGCCTTACCCAATAAATGAGGTCATCTTTCAACAGGACAATGACCCAAAGCACACTGCTAAAATGGTTAAGAATTGGTTAGCATCACAGGACTTCAAGTGCTAGAATGGCCAGTATAAAGTCCTGATTTGAACCCAATAGAAAGTTTGTGGTCACAATTAAAAAAAGCGCTCATTAATAATTATTCTGACCCTCCATCATCCATTAATGTGTTATATGAACGAGTTCAAGAAAAGTGAGAAAATATTTCGTTAAACCTTTGCAAAAATCTTGTAACGAGCATAAATAGAAGATTAGCAACAAAAAAAAAAGCTAAAGGATTATGGACAAAATATAAAAGATTTATAAAATTGACAGTTTTTTTTGCGTGGTGCAAAAGTGATTCACCATGTTATTCATTTATTATTTTGTAAGTAAATATTTTTCTTCAATAAATACTTAATAAAAATTGTTTTTTTAATAATAATTTCTACCAACAATATTATTTCTCAAAATGCTAAATTCTTTATAAGAAAATAAAAATATTATGCATTCTGGTTCAGTTTTGCACCATACTATGTGTGTGTATATATATGTGTGTATATATATATATGTGTGTATATATATATATGTGTGTATATATATATATGTGTGTGTATATATATATATATATATATATATATATATATATATATATATATATATATATATATATATATATATATATATATATATATATATATATATATATATATATATATATATATGTATGTAGAGTTGCAAAAAAAACCGTTTTTTTTTAATTGTGTTTTTTTTGCAAAAAAAAACATGTTTTTTTTTGTGTTTTTTGTGTTTTTTATGGTTTTTTTTGTTTTTTAGATTAAAAAAAATATATTTACTTTTATTTAATTTTTATTTTTATTATAAATGTAATATAATATATATTAATAACATGATATATGGTAAATATATAGTACATCATTTAAAATATTTATTTTTAATTAATAACAGATTCTGTATTCTGGCTTTCTTGTTCATTAAGGTCTTCTATTGCCTGGCATATTTTTTTTTAGATTTCTTTTTTTTTTTTAATTAAAAATAATTAATAGATTAAAAATTGTTTAATATAAATGTTTTTTCATTAGACAAAGTTAATCATTGTGTTATTTTTATTTACTTGATTATTGTTTGAATAAATAAAGTTTTAGCTATATAATTGCAATTTAAAATAAAATAAAGAAATTAAATATTAAAAATTTAAAAAAGTAATATACAAAAGTAAATAAAACAATAAAGTAAATTTTATTTAACAGTTGGTTCATTTTTGTATTTTGCAATGCAGTGTTATTTCATTCATTTTTATGAATGAAATAACACTGCTAAAATAACATTTTTATTTCCTTCATTCAGTAGTATACTTACAATCAACTAGTAGCTAATAGTATAGTTTTTTTGAGATTTATTTAAAAAATTACTTTTTTAAATATTTAATACTGTTTTTTTTTAATATTGGTGATTAGTTTGTAACAGCTATTATATAAGTTAATATCCATTTTATTAAATAGAAAACATTTGTATTTTGTAGGTTTAAGAGCACTGGAACTGTTTCAAGTATTATTATTATCTAAAATTTAATGAATACTAAAAAAAGCAAAAAAAACTATAAAAAACATGTTTTTAGAACCAGTCTGTTTTTTTTTGCAAAAAAAACATGTTTTTTTTTAAAAAAAAAACACTGTTTTTTTTGAGGTTGCAACTCTATACATATGTAAATATAGAAAGTTTTTAGAAATTGCTTCAAAACTTTTTTGTTTTCTATAAAGTGCCCCTACCTTATTACTACTATTAAAAAAAAATTTCACAAATGTTTAATTTTTATTGTTGTTTGACAAAGTAGAAAGAAATATAAAAACAATGCTAAGCATAATTTGTTACAATATTTGAGTAAAGAAGATCGAAAAAATAAATAATAAATGTGTTATTCAAGCATTTTTGCATTATATTTGGGTTCTGTTTAAAAAAATGGGTAATATGTTGGAAATTTGAAAACCATGTATATAATTAGTTTCTAAAAATACTAGTTGTTTTAACAGCTTTTTTGTTTTTATAACTTATTAAAGAATATTTAAATGAAGTAAGTTCATGAAATAATATTGAAAATAATAAATAAAAAAGTGGAGATTTCAAACAAAAACAACAAATATAAAAAACATGAACTAGTTTTATAGTTATTTTATAAGTAATAAAAATCATTTTGACTATATGTAGCAAATATGAAAAAATTATTAAAGCTATTAACATAACAGACTTATTTCGTCCATCAAGATTTGTGTGCACATTGAGTTTGTTGGGATTCCTCATCTTAACTCAAAAAGCAAATTGTTTGAATAGTCCTTTGGTTTAAAAAACCTGAAGAAAATGTAACTAATTAATCAAATTATATTGTGTTAAAAGTAAAAACTGAAAATATTTTTGATAGCTGGCTGCAGGAGCAATTTAAGAAATCCTCTTTTCTCAAAACATTATTAAGACAAAAAAAGTGGAGATTAAAATTCTGAGCATACTGAATACTCTTTCAGTAAGTTTATCTCTTTCTAGGCATAAGTTGATCTCTTTCTAGACAGCACTTCCAGACTGATTTTAAGAAAGATAGAAAATAAGACTTTTTTTACAGCTGTGTTTTACTCTTATTGGTTTATAAAAGCTGTAATTACTGTAATTGTTTCATATCTGATGCCATTTTTATATTTTACAAGTTTTAAAAGCTTAGTTTAATATTTTATTACTTTTTTGTTTGCATGAAATATTTTTAGGTTATATCAGTCTAAAATAATTTAAAATACTAGAGCTTTATGGCAGAAGATATTAAAAAATTAAATCTCTAAAGAGACACACATGGTACTTAGAACTAAATATTTTAGTGGTCTCTGGTTGACAAAACTCTACAAAAAATGGAGTAACATTGCGAAGAAGCTGTACTTAACTCTAAAATGCTTACAAATTATACCATTGAAAAAAAGCTTTAGTTTATTGAACTTCCTTATGTTTAATGATATTCCACCAAGTCTGACTCCACCTATTCACAAGAGTCAGTTAGTTTTTCATATGTTAAATCAAGTAAATGCAAAAAAATATAGCTTAAGACTCCAGCTGAGACAAAGGACCTAAATGAGTATTACCTAAAAATTAAACAGTTTGTAAATAATCTAAAGGAAGTAAATGATTGTAGTAGGAGGACTATAAAACTAGTAAATGTAAACATCTTTTATGTTTGCAATGCTGTTTTTGTTAAAAATTAATTTCACATTTAAATACATTAAATATTTTAAATACATTCAGTAATTTCACATTTAAATACATTAAATACTCCTTAATAAGTTTTAATCAATAAATCACACAATGAGGAGAAAAAATACTTTTGTTGTATCAAACAAATATTAGAGCAGAAGGTCAATTATCAAAAAATCAGCTCATCCGAAAAAAGGGTGAAGGGACAAAAATGACCTTTGGACCCATTGAGGGAAGTCGTGGAGTGGTCATGATCAACCAATCATGAAAAAAAAGTTTCAACAGTAATATCAAGGTTAAGGAAATTTATGGAAAAAAAATGATAGTTGAAAATCAAAAAATTTGTTTTTTTGAAACACTAAAAACTGGTTAAGCAGCATTATGTAAACAGCAATGTTATAGCTCTTAAGTTCAAAATGCTAAAAAAAACTCCTTTAAGTGGAATATCCAAAAAGATATATGATAAATTATATTTAGATTAAAATGTAGAGCAGAGATACGAAAAGTAACAGTTTACCCTATTACAAGTTTAAAGAATTATTATAAAAATTAAACGTATTACAAAATGAATTGTTATGATATGATGAAATATTATCATAATAATGAGAATTATTATAAAGAGAATGAACTAATATAAAAAAGATGAAATGTTTTAAAATGTAGCAGTCAAAAAAGAAAAGAAAAAAGAAAATGAATATGTGGGATATCCAGAGATATACAATAGGGATAGAAAGGAGAAGGCATATATGCAGTTATATAAAACATACAAAAGATTTATTACGAAAAAAGTTATTTAGCATTATTTTTCTTAATTTTCTAAAAAACATTTAAAAATCAATAATTTTAAAGATAAAGTATTTTACCAGTATAAATTGTATCACTAAAACACTTAAGTTGATATATGTTTGTAAACATAACAAATAAATAACCTGGTAGAACTGTTAACTGATTTGTTCCTAAATTTAATTCATCCAAGTTAGCCCATGTACCAAAATCTAAAACAAAGAAAACCTAAAGTTATCATTATAAGCAATTAATAGCTGTGTGCTAAATAAAGTTGTCATTAATGTGTGTAAATATTTAGATTTTTGTATGTTATTAAAAATAAATAAACTTACCAAGCGGAAGTTCAGCAATTAAATTATCTTTCAAATTCAACTTTGTCTATAAATTGAAGAAAGAATTAATACAATGAATTACTTGAAAAAACAAAACAAAACAAAAACAATATTTATTTTGTTACTTTTATTATAGCATTTATTTAAAAAAAATTATTTTAAAATACATTTTTTTTTTGCATAATTTGGTAAACTTGATTATGGAAAACATAATTACTTAACTAAAAACCACTTTTTAAAAAACCGACTCAATGGAAACCACAAAAAATATTTGAAAATTGTCACCTAATTTATGTAAAATAAATGATGTAAATTTATGTTAATGTAAATTATATAAATATTTATCCACTTGATTGAAAATTGGTAAAACTTTTTTTTTAATTTACTTCAGACAAGCAGCCAAAGAAAATTAAACAAAAATATATAAAAACATCAATAAATTTCATTAAACTCTGCCAATCATCCTTCTTTGATGAAAAGAACCTTTGCAAATAAAGGTTCCATTTTAAATATCTTTATAAATTTAAACTAAATTAGGGGACAGCCAGGAAGATTTTTTCTGGTTTTTCCTCCTTTACCCTATGTCAAACTCTGTCAATGTTTGGCAGACCTACCCTTAAAAATTATGTCAGTTTTTTTTTCAACTCCTCCCCCTAAAATAAAATTAAAAATGCGTAGTTACCATCAATTTTTTTATGGTATTATTATTATTATTTTTAATTTGCTCATAGATTTTAAAATAAAAACATAAAAGTCTTTATTGATTAAACACAGTGTAAAATGAAAAAAAATTTGATAAGTGATTTTCTACTAATTTAATAATTTATAATTGCTCTGAACTGCTTTAAGAACATTGAACACTCTACTTTATAGAATACATTTAAATAACACCATTGAAATCTTTAAAAATAAGATTCAATTGCATAGTTTTTATAAATTGCCATTATAGTTTTAAAAATTCAAAGTACTTACTAAGAACTGAGCTTTTGAAAAGATGCCAAATGGAATTTTTTTAATTTTATTGTGATCAAACACCAGTGACTATTAAAGAAATATTCAATCAGAAAGAAAAAAAATACATATAATCCGATAAAAAAAAACTAAAATTAAAAAAATTCATATATTAAAAAAAAAAAATCAAAAAAATAATAATATAATAATAACACTAATACTAAAAACAATATGATAATACTACTACTAATAATCATAACAACGGGAACAACAGTAACAATATAACCACCAACTAAGTACCACCACTACCGCCAATAACAACAACAACAACAACATTAATAATAATAGAAATAATAATAGAATTAATGTCATGGTAAAAAAAAAATCTTTTAGTGTAATTTTTTAAACTTTGGAATTATTAGACATCATCCTAGTGCATCCAATTCATAATTACCAAATCTAGGTGTAGTACTCATTCCAGTATTACAATACTGATTTTAGGTCCTGATTTTATAATAAAATTTAATAACAAAATTTATAAGTAATTAAGTTATAAATAAATTATTTATAATTAAATTACTTATAAATTGTGAAATTAACTTTAGTAGTAACAACATTAAAAAAATTTAAGTCTAATAGAAAAAATAGTAATAATAGAAAAAGATAATAAGAATGCACTCTATTCAATAGATAAGCGTATTGATTGCAAGAACAATTAGAAAACGATTATTAACAATAGCGATACAATATATAATAAAGATTATAGTAATACTATACTAATAAAGTTTTCATTTCAGAAAAATTGATCTCAATAATAAATGAGTTTGGTACACTAGATGTTGCTTGTACACAGCAAATGTGTAAACGCTATGTCTAAAACTAATTGAAATGTTTTGTAAGTTTAAAACAATCTGTACCTGTACAAAGTTAATAACTTTTATAAAAAAATTTTTAAAAACCATTTATTTAAAATATATCAGGTACAAAGCAAAATGTGTTTTATACTGCTAGTGCAGTATAATAGTGCAGTATAGACACACACAAAAAAAAGTTCCCCAAAAATGCGTTTATTTTTTTCTAAACAAAATTATTATTAAAAAAAATGTTTATGCTCAAAAAAGATGTTTATGCTCAAAAAATTTAGGAAATTTTTTGTTTAACTAAGCTAGCTCATTACTTCATCAAGAAAACACAATGGATTAAAAAAAGTTAGGCGCCATAATATTTAAAAATACCATTTTGTTTAAAAAAATTCATGCAATTATACTTTTCATTTGAAAAAGTATTAAATTAGAGGTAAAAAAAACATTTAAAATTCTTTTTAAGAGTTTTGAGTAACTGTTGGTTTCAAATAAGCGTTGATTTGAATTGTAACACTTAAAATTTGATTTAATATAAAAGTTTTATTTAACAAAAATAAAACATCATTAAATTACATTTTTTTTTTACTTCAGAAACAAAAACTTTTGAGAGCTAAGGGTTTTTGTTGACATAATTTTTTTATTTTAATTTTAGTGACATTTAACTTTCGGTAATCTTTTATAATTTTTTTTTTTTTTTTTTTTTTTTAAATATTAAGTTATTTTTAAAAAAATGGATGATTATATAACTAAGCACATTTTTACTTTAATAATTTTTTTTAAAAAAACTTTTTTTTTTTTTTTTTTTTTTTTTGTTTTTGAAAAAATGGATAAGAATAAAACTAAACACATTTATACTTTTATAAATTTTTTTTGTAAAAAACAAAGTTATTTTTGAAAAAATAGAAAATTATAAAACTAAGCACATTTATACTTTTATGATTAAAAAAACAACATTGAAAAGATTGTTTAACAAAACTCGAAATGACATAAAAAAGATATTTTGGTCTTTTTGAGTTTTATTTTTGAAACAAATAAGTCATTTCTGGTACATTTTGTATGTTAAATGGTTTTAAATTAATTAGTAAAATTTTCATAAAGTTCATTATTTAAACATTTTTTTTACAAATAAGCATGAGTCTCTTTTGATGAAACCTAAATAAGACCAAGCTGCACTAACAACTTTTTGTTAGTTAAAAAAGGTCCAAGGTTTGTATTTGATATTTTCTTCAAATGAGGAAAATTGTTTTTTATTTAAATAAACTTTCTACTTTAGTATTCCTGTTGTTTGATACTTTGATACTTCTACTTTTATTATTCATGTTGTTTGATACTCTGATACTTCTACTTTTATTATTCATGTTGTTTGATACTCTGATACTTCTGCTTTTATTATTCATGTTGTTTGATACTTTGATACTTCTACTTTTATTATTCATGTTGTTTGATACTTTGATACTTCTACTTTTATTATTCATGTTGTTTGATACTTTAATACTTCTACTTTTATTATTGCTGCTTGATACTTTGGTACTTCTAATTTTATTATTCCTGTTGTTTGATATTATTCTTCTGTTGTCCTGCAGGATTTATTAGCAGAGGTTATTCTGAAAAAATAATAAGTGACTGTACTCCTCTGCCATACTTTAAACCCCTTCCCAAATTAATACATCGGAATAAGGGGAAACATTTTCTAAATGTTGTGTGCCACATTTAGAGTTTTTTAATTGCATATTAATTCAAAAAACATTTTGCTGTAACATCATCAACACATGTGTAATAACATCAATACTTGCAGAATTTGATAAAGTGTAAAGTTGATATCTAAAAGTGCAAGGTTAATTTGCTGAGCATTTTTTTGATAACAACACACACACAGATATATATATATATATATATATATATATATATATATATATATATATATATATATATATATATATATATATATATGTATATATATGTATATATATATATATATATATATATATATATATATGTGTATATATATATATATATATATATATATATATATATATATATATATATATATATATATATATATATATATAATATATATATATATATTAGGGTGTCCCAAAAAATAACATTTTTGAAAATAATCTGCTCTCATTCCCTAAATGTTTTCTATCTAATGCAAAAACACTAGGTTTAAATATTTTTTGAATAAAAAATATTTATTCCATAATGAGTCCCTAATATTTTCGAAAAAAAAGTTTTTTAAAAATATGTCAACCTGGTACTCAAATGAAGCGAAATTATATAAAAATTTTTAAAATAGTATTTATTTCGAAACAAAATTGTTATTTTTGGTTTTATTACATAAAAAATTGCTTTTATTAAGAAAAAATGAAAAAAAATGCATTTCTAATGTTTTTTTTATGATAATTTTGATAAATAAGTTAAAAATATTTCGAAATGAATATTATTTTTGAAATATTTATTTAATTTCGCTTTATTTGAGTAACAGGTTGACATATTTTTGAAAAACTTTTTTTTCAAAAATATTAGGGACCCATTAAATATTTGAGGGTCTTGAGGGACCCCTTAAAATATTTTTTATTCAAAAAAAATTTAAACCTAGTGTTTTTGTATGAGATAGAACACATTTAGGGGGTAAGAGCAGATTATTTTCAAAAATGTTGTTTTTTGAGACACCCTAATATATATATATATATATATATATATATATATATATATATATATATATATATATATATATATATATATATATATATATATATATATATATATATATATATATATATATATATATATATATATATATATATTTATATATAATACCAGTTGCGACCCTTGAATTAATTTGACAATTAATCCAAGGGTCCCAACTGACATTTGTGATTGTTACCAATCCAGCCTTAAGAGGCTTGAAGATGGAAAGTTTTAAGTTCAGCCAAAGCTTTTTGACTTTTTAATTATTAAAGTTTGTTCTGTCACAAGAGATATTTGTGACTATTTAATATTCTTACTTGTAAAAGTAAAGTGCAATTCTTAACATCCAGTCTTATTAACCCAAAAACTTGAGACAAACCACAACACATAGTAGATAGAAAACATTTTCTATACTTATAAAGTTGACAAGAGCCTTTTACATTAGATACATTACATACATTAGTTTTAATTAGATACATTATTAAATACACAATTGATATAAGCCTGACCTATAAAAGAATTCAACAGAAATTAGAAAAACGGTATTTAGAAGAACAAAAGCGAAAATTGTTTCACCATCAATCATTGCCAACGATGAATCATCACCTGGTAGAACAGTTCTTCTAAGTAGGCTTAAGGGATTAGGAATTGCAGCCCAATTTCAGTTAATCTAGTTTTAATAAAACATTTTAATAAAACATTTAAAGATTTAGTTTCATTTTTTAAAAGTAATGCTTTGCATTTAACATTTCTCAAAATTATTTTCAAGGTTCATATTCAAGAGCGCAGAATCTTTTCAATGAATAATCACAACTGACAACTAAATATCTTCTTCATGTGCAGCACAACAAAGGTCGGCCTAATTTCGGTGTGAAAAAGCATTAAAAGTATCAATTGTTTATCAAGCAACTTTTGGTTGAGAATTGACGCCATGAACCATTGTTCTGTTCTATGATGCTGGTTAACAGAACTTGCAATTAACAATTTACAAATGTCATAAAAAGATTGGTCAGAATTCTTTCCATCTTTTACCTTCATTGACATACTAAAAAAGTGTTCAATGGTTCAATTTCTTTCAAAATATTTTATATTGCTATTCTATAAGAGACTTTATTACAAAGTAGTACTATCATTCCAGCAAAAGATTCTGTAGGATCATGACATCAAGAGCTTTCCTTTTTTAAAATATGATAAGCAGTGTAATTTTTAAAAGAATTTATAAAAATTTAGTTAAAATATTTTCCAAAACCTTTATAAACAGCTAAATATAAAAATTTGTATTAATTTATACAAACAATCAGTTTGAAACAATTATTAGAGTTTTAATAACAAAATTATTTTTGTTTTATTTGCTAACATTATTCATAATATATCAATTATTACATACAATATCACTTGGATAACACAACTTACGGTAACAGAAGCAAACTGTTTTGGCCCATCACTTGGAAAATTCTCAAATTCATTTCTTGATAATGTAATTGAATCACATAACTTTGATGACAAAAGCAATCCACTCTAAATAATGTTCAACGCATAATTAGTTTGTATAACTAACACATAGTTAATTTATATAAAATCTAAATCTTTTTAAAGAAAAATATATAGCTTGGTACAATTACCATATATATACTTATAATTAACTTTTAACATGTTGAATTAGGTGTGTTGCAAGGTGTTGCAAGTATAAAAAATAGGTAAAACAATATTTTTATTTTTCAAACTTTGCAAAGTGTTGCAAGTATAAAAAACAGGTAAAGCAATATTTTTTTTAAAATCTTTTAACTTTTTTTTTTAAACTTATTTTTGGAATTAAAAATTACAAATATACAAATATTACAATTATTATTTTGAAACTTAAGGTAAAATTTAAAGTTTATAAATTGTTAAATTCATGTTTCACCAGAATATCAAGGTGACTACATTAAACTATGGCCAGAAAATGTCACTAAGTAGACTTTTTATAAAAAAAATAGATGTGTTACATTTCATATTCAATACTATACTCATACTGTATTAAGAACAATAGTTCTGATACTCAGTAAATTTATGGTTTAAAACCATCTCTTCCATAAAATTTAAACTTCTGTTGCAAATCTAATAGTAAGTACACTTTGGCACCTAAAATTTGCTCAGAGTCACCTAATCGTCATTTGACTCAGCACATTTAATAACTCTTTTTCTTTCTTTCGGTAAAGATAGAAATAACAAACTTTTGAGAATAATAACACAACAATATTTCAATTTCATTACTATTACTGGCGCATACAAATGCTTAATTTGATATTATTAACTTATTCAAATTTATGTTCTGGTAGACCTTTTATAATGACCTATAAGCTTACATCGTGATTTCAGAATTACAAACTATGTATTTTCATTTAAAAACTATAATTTCTTAATTACAACTTATGCATTCTAAATTACATCTTTTTCTTATTTCAGGCCTTGCGATAAAGCGTCGGGCGATGTGAATTTTACGTCGTCCAAGAGCGATTTTGCGTGTAGCTAGGGCTATTTACGTTGAGCAAAAAAATTTTTGTTTGAGTATATTTAAAGATATTTTTGAGCGGAACTTTAATGAAGTAATTTACGATTATTTTAACATTTAATAAAGTATTTTAAAAACCGCACGCTGTTGAAATAAAAGTTTGAATTAAAAATTGAATATTTACAAGTAGAAAAAGTTCAGATTAAAAAAAAAGTTTAAATCTTTTAAGCTAACATTTTAATAAAATTATTCAGCATTAGCAAAATTGAACAAAAATACTTTCTTTTAGTTTTAGATTTTAAACTTAAATAATTATTTTACGGGGGTTTGTTAGGTTTTAAAATTATTCCATAGATTTAAAAATATTTATTAACTGTTAGACGTATTTAAAGTATGTGAGAGTAATTTTGAGGAAACATTTTAAAAATTGGTGAGCGCAAATAAAACAAAAAAAAAAGGATTAATATTAAAACGTATTCTACTTGATTCAATAAAAAAGTACAGTTATTAAAATTTTTGTAAAAAGTAACTCAAAAAAATTACTTAAATAATAACGATCGCTTTTATGTTAAAAGTTACCGAAACTTATGGAAGCGTGCTCAAGAACAGCTGCAGAAAAATAGAACGTCAATAGTTTTTCGAATAATTTTTAATAATTATTTTTAAGAATAATTTTTTCGCTAAAATATTTCTTTTATACCTATAAGATTTTTATTCTAACATTTTATTTTATTTTACTAGAAATAAAATTCCTTGTTAACATTAAAAATCTATTCAAAACGTTCGTTTAAGCTTTTTATTAATACGAGTGATTGTCCTTATCAACCGCTTTATGAAAATAAATAAAAATAAATAAATAAATATTATATAAAATCGCTTGTAAAAATATTAGCTATTGCACAGTTTTTATTCGTACAATATTAAAATTTCCAGTTTATTACTCGCTGACTTTTTAAAAAGAAAAAATAATTATTTGAAAAACTTTAAATTACATATTTAAGAAAAAAAAAATCAAATATTAGCATATTTAATAATCTTTTTTAAATTTAAGTTATAATGTTTTTTATTCGTTTAGTATAGACTAAACGTGACAAACGTCGAGAAAATAAACAAATGTTTTTACATTTTAAAAAACGAAATATTCCAAAACATTTTTAAATAATAACATTTCTACATAAAGGATTTAAAGTAGTTTTGCGGTAATTAAGTAAATTGGTGCAGTTAATGTCGATAAATATGAAAAGCAAATAAAAAGAATTTAATGACGTCAAAAATCACGTTGTGCTTATGCGTCGCGCAGTTCTTATTCATCGCAAGGCCTGTTATTTACAACTTTTATGTTTAAATTACACCTCACTTTTCTTAATTACAACATGTTCTAAATTACTTCTTACATTTCTCAACTTTCATCTTCTAATTACATCTTACATTTTTTAACTACAACAGTTGACAATTATATCATAAAAATGTAGTAATAAATGTTTACGCTGTACAAAGAAGTTAACAAGATATTCTCTGAGTTTCAATCAAAAAATGTCATAAAAATATCAGTTTAGCAAAAGGACAGAGAAAATCAATAATTTTTAACAACTTTAAATAAAAAAATAGGAATTTTTAAATTCTAAACTTTAACTTCGGGACTAAGTTGGACTAAGTAAGACAAGTTGTGACTTATTCTTGCTCTGGCCAACTATATTTATATTGAAATAATAATTGTATTTATATATTTATATGGCAAAACATGAAAGCAAAAAAAAATAATAATAATTAAAAAAATAACATGATTTTTTATATTTTACCATACCTTTAATGATAATTTTACTTAAAAAATTGAAAAATATAATAGAATAAAACCTTATAAAATCTTTTAATTGTCCCCCTTTAAAGATAAATATTTTGCAAACAGGCTTTGACAAAAACAATGTTTAGAGGATGGTTAATAAGACACAATTGAAACCACAAACATTAACATATAAAGATCTTCATATGACTTAAAACCTAACCGGTAAACTTGAGATGCCATTAGATTCGATATTAATTTCTTGAAGTAAAGTACATTGACAAATACTGCTGGGTAATGAAGTCAACTGATTATATCTACATTAAAAAAAAATGTTTAAAAGTAAATATTATACAATAAATATATTATAAATGATCATGATTACAAGAATATGATCACACACAACCATCATAGGTGAAAAAAAGTAACAACAAAATGAAAAAATAAAACAATAACTTTTCAATAATACTAGTTTGTGGATGTTTAATCACATCAAAATTATTTAAATAAATCAATAAATTATAAATTGTATTTTATCATAAGTACACTGTAAATGTAATACCTCATTACTAATTTGAAAGTGCATAAAAAGGTGTTTTAAAAAGTGTATAAAAGATGTTTGATTTCGTAGCTTTAGAAAAAAATAATTAAAAAGAAACACTTAATACATAATTGTAAATAGTTTTTAGTATCAGGTTTTAATTTTTAAACATCTGGTGGCATTGGTAGTGGAGAGAGGAGAAGTATTAGGACTACAGTTTTTAAAAAGCAGTTCAATTTTAAAACATCTTAGAAACCCCTTTCTAAAATACAAATGCATGTTTACAGTATAATATACATGCATGCATATACAAAATAACCAACATACATGTTTAATGAATAATAAGTTTAAATACATAATTTGTCAAACTTTCAATTTAAGAAAAAAAAATCCACTAGCAACAAGTTTTATATTTTGAAACTTTAGGACTTGGTTATAAGTCCAAAAATTAAAAAAAAAATATCTTATAGTCCTGAATAAAAATTAAAAAAGTCTCTAAGAAACTTAGTTTGAACACTAAATCTTTAAATTAACCAAGCTAAGTTGCTTGTGTTTAAATTTGTATGCTCATACCCCAAGCTATTGGTGATGAAATTATGACAAAAGTAGTGCCATTATGAATTATTATATTATTATTCTCTGAATCCTCCAAAAGTCTGACTTTAAACAATCATAATTTTTAATCAACATGTTTGACGGCTAAATCAGGTAGAACGCAACTAGTGTAATCAAGAGATGATATTGATGAAAAGTTATTAGCAAACAATTCAGCGTTGTCTGGAGAGGCAGAATAACAGATCTGCTCTTATTGTTGGTACTCTTAAAGATTCTCCAGAAGTCACAAGAGCCTAATTTTTGTGATGAATTATAACATATCATATCATAGCACATTGTACATTATAATGACCAATAATCAGCTTGTTTAGCTTCTCCAAATATCTTTCCAACAACTGACTTATTTTATTTAAAAGCTGAGAGTTCAATGATCTTTTGAAAGGATCTTTAAAGAATAGCAAACCAAAATCAACTTAAAAAGAAACACACAATGTTTTAAAGAGTTTTTTAAAATCCCTGTTTTTAAAGTAAACTAGTTTAAAAATACATGCAATCTCACCAATACCATAGCAACTAAGGTATTCAATATTTTTAGATGAAAGGTCAACCCTTTTAACTCAAATTAGGTCAAATCTCACAGTTAGTGTTAGGGTCAAGTAGGAATATTAGTATTTTATAATGATGTGTTTTATAAATTAAAACACACCATTCCCCCCTTGTGGCTCAATAATGCCCAGCAAAACAAAATATTTTCATTTGAAATATGAATTCAGATTGAATTGAAGAATGATCTGATCCTTTGCTGAAAATTACAGAACTGTATGTAAAAATTACGTGCAATAATTTTAGTGATAACTGATATATATTATTTATATATATTAAAACATTGTGTGTTTCTTTTTAAGTTGAATTTGGTTTGCTATTCTTTCAAGATCCTTTCAAAAGATCATTGAACTCTCAGCTTTTAAACAAAATAAGCTAGTTGTTGGAAAGATAGTTGGAGAACTTGTTTCTCTGCGCAGCGGCCTTGTTTGTCAGGGCTCGTGTTTCAGAGTTATAGAGTTGAGAGAGGGTTATAACCACTATTAAGTAGCCTCATCGTCTGTAGTGGCCTTCTCGGCCTTGAGGAGGTGAATAACAAATATATATATATATATATATATATATATATATATATATATATATATATATATATATATATATATATATATATATATATATATATAAATTCTATTAAGCATAAAAAGTTGTAAAATATACACAGTAAAATTTTTTTTGATAATTATAGAATGCAATTCATTAAAATATAAAAATTAAGAATAAAGGAACAAAAAGTATAAATTAAAATTTTTAAACAAAAAATAAATAAATTTAATTAAATAACAGCCGCCTGAAAAGAAATTTTTAAACTCATTTATAAAAAAAAGACAAAACTGCATTATGTGGTAGGCCGTGTAGACCACCTCCGCATCTTTTTTCAAAACATTGGTTATTATTATAATTAATAAAAACCTAATGAAAATTTTACAACATAACAATGATATATTATAAAAAATTTAAATAAGTAAGTTTACCTTAAACCAAGCCTTGATAATGCAGTTAGTTTTCCTATAGAATCGGGAAGATCTCGCAACTCATTGTGAGCGAGATCCAAAGTGTTCATTTCTATGCATTTACCAATTTCTTCAATAAATTAAATTATGTCTTAAATAAAATGTTAAAAAAATACTGCAATATATTTTTTGTTTAGTATTTTTTTCAAGCTTTTATCCTATACATTCTATTATAGGGTCACATCACCAAAGTTATAAATGTTCAGACGGTTTTAGAAAACTATTTTAGAAGTGATTTCTCACTTTTTTTTATTAGTTATCTTCGTATTATGCAATTTGTCTCAATAAATTCATTTATATTTTGTCATCAAACATAAAGCACTTGTTTACACTTGTAAACTGCATTAGTTTTGAATTTGCCAAAAAATTTTGTTTTTGTATATATATTATGTATCTACTTTTTTACATCTTTTTTCTTGAAATACTTTATTTATCTTTTTGTACATTTAATTTCAAATAACAATCTTTATAGCCATGTGGATGTTAAATTAATTTTAATATTAAAAAGTTAACAATAAAATTTTTAGCTGTTTTAAAAAATTTACATTAATATATTTTATATATCAAATCTTAGGGTTTATTGTTTATAAGTCAACATTTCTATTTTTCAAAATTTTTTTGCAGATACAAGCATATAATTGTAAAAAAATATATTTAATTGAAAAAATAACTTTTATTGTAAAAAAAATATTTATTTGTAAAAAAAAATATTTAATTGTAAAAAATATATTTAGCTTAATAAAAAAAAATCTGCACCTTAAAATTTTTTCTGAATTTTGAAAGAATGAGATTTAAGGTTAAAAGCTTGAATGTTTCTCAAAGATTTTAAAATCCCTTACCTGTTGACCTAGAAAAAGGTTTTAAACTTACCTGGTGGTAAAGACTCTAAGTGATTTTTTGCCAAATCCAATGTTACTAAGCTTTTTAAATTGCCTAAAAACAACATAATTGTTTTAATAACTTATGACATTTATAAAAATTAATCAAATCTATAAGATATTATCTTATAACAGTATTACAGAACAAGAAAAAGTTACTATAATTACTACCTACCAATGGTATCTGGTATATGCTTAAGGCGATTTTCACGCAAACTTAACATTGTCAAATGCTACATAAAAAAATAAAAAAAATTTATATTTATATTTTTACTTTAACAAATTTTTATTGATTTTTATTATACAAAAGCAACAACATTGTTTGCAATTAGAACAAACTGTTTATTGTATATTTTTTTAATTTTTTAATTTTAATAAAAACTATAATTGTAATAATTTGAATAATTATAAATATTGTGTAGTTAATCAATTACAATAATTTTTATGTGTCAAAACACAGTAAATACTTTATGCTTAATCAATCATCTAAAGTAGTTTTTGTGAACTTGTTTCTAAAATCATCTAAAGTAGTTTTTGGATCTTGAAATTTAAAAGAACAACTGATTAATTATTGATAAATTGAAAAATAAACTGCATATATATATATATATATATATATATATATATATATATATACAGCATGTAAAATAAGAAATCGAAGGCGAGCGGTCAATTTGACCAGCTAACCTTTGGAATTGACGGTCAATTGTTTTTTTTGGACGGTCAACATTTTTATTATTTTCTTTGTTTTCATTTTAATCTTAGTAATAATTCTTCATGACTGAACTTTATAAATACAAAAATAACTTAATATTTGATAATTAACAAATTAGTATTCCTTTTTTAAATTTGCAAATAACTAACATTAAAATTACACGCCAATGTTAATAGTTTAAAATTAAGGGCGCAGATTTTCATTTTATTTCTTAAAGGAAGTTTGATTAATTGATAAACTTTTTTAAAATTTAGTACATGCTTTTTCCAAATAATAATCTGATTATTTTTCAAATCTTTTTTTTAACCGGTCAACCATGACCGGCAAGAATTCATTTTGGGAGGTTAAAATTGCAATTTTACTCATTTTGGGCGGTCATTGACCGTTGACCGGCCATTATTTTACATGCTATATATATATATATATATATATATATATATATATATATATATATATATATATATATATGATTTTCCTTTTCGTAGAGTTATCAAAAAAGAAAGTTTAATATTTGCACTAATGAGCAATTTATTTAATTTTAAGTGAAACATTTCTGTAGTTAACTATTTCTAGGGTGAATGTAGTTTTTATTTTAAATTTTTCTAATATTATATTTGTTTTAATAAACTTCAATAAATGTAAACATGTTTCAAAAATGTAAACACTCTTATAATTTAAAACAATGTACTAACAGTTAGGTTTCCAATTTCGGGTTCAACTGTCGTAAGCCTGTTAAATCGAAGAAGTAACTGTTTTAAAGAAACTAAGCTGTATAAAACAGGGGGAATCTATAAATAAAAAAAGATATAAAGAAATATAATATATAATAATCTTTAATATAATAGTAATCTTTAACTTTGTTATTTTTAACGTTGTTTATTAATTTATAATTGAAAAGAAAAAGTAATGTTAAAGAATTACTTGAGTAAGACTTGAAAATAGATGTTATTTTTTTTTAAAAAAAAGGCAAAATACCTCTTTAATTTTGTTATGACGTAAATCCAACATTTGAAGTTTTTTACAATTTACAATTTCAGCTACAATAAAAAGATAGAAAAGAAAGATTTTTAGTAAATATAAAAACAAAAAATATAAAAATTAAAAAATAAAACGTTGTTGCAGTTTTGTTTCAAAAACTTAAAGAGTCAGTTTTTAACCAAAAATAATCACTTAAAACAATTTAAACATAATTTTTTTTTAATTTAGAAAGAAAATACAGAGTTTTACACTAATATTATAATACCAATATTTCTATAAAAAAAGTTTACATTAAATAAGTATATATTCAAACATGTTTTTTATACTTAATTTACATTTTTTATATATTTATATTTTTAAATTTGTACAAGCTGGTTATACAGTTATTGATCATTGGTCAGTAAGGTATCTGAAACAGGTTAAATTGATTTTAAATTAAATTTTTTTTTTTTCTAAAACATTAAATGTAAATTTATGCAGCCCGCAAAATCCTGGTCAGCATTTAGCAATGCCGACGCAAAACCCAATCTATATTTGCTTTACTACTGCATAGAACTGCTGATTTGAATTTATAATAGTTCAATAGATAATAATAATAATATTCAATCAAATTTTTTAACCTATTTATTGTAATTATTTGTTTTTCAAGTTAAATAAGTTTTATTTAAAAAACAAATTATTATTTCAATTTATGTTTTCATTTTTTGTCAACTTCATTCATCACAACCATAGCAAAGTTATTAAATGATTCAAAAGTTAATAAAATTAAAAAAAAGTGAGGATGGGCTCTCTGGTTTATGGTTAAGAACCTTAACAGGCTAGTTCTAGGGATGACTTGCACGCATCACTTTTCTCAAAGACAATAAAAAGAGTCATTTTGATGGTTTTTACCAATAAAAAAATCAAAGGTTCAAAGTTACTAAAAAATCAAAGGTTTAAAAGGTTTTTTAAACTTGGAAAATATTTTTGCATTAAACAATTTGAGCTTAAGATTTTTTTTATACTTATTTCTGTAACTTGCATCTTTGCATAACAAATCTTAAATCATATAGCATATTTAACTTTTTTGAGACAACCGTCATTTATTAGCTAATGATCACTACTACATCAACGTCTTTTTAATAGTATGCAAAGAAACAGATCACCGGCTGGAGTTTTTTTTTTTTTTTTTAAACATCTTTGCTTACAACAAGGCTGCAAGCAACCACTAATTAGTGTTGGGAGTTACTGGAAGAGAAAAGATGAAGATTGTAGAGCAAGATAACAATTGACAGACGACTTAAAAGATTGCAAATTATATGAATCAGGAAAACAAGATGAAGGAAGCGAATTCCAAAGAACTGATGTTTGAGGAAAAAAACTAGAAGAATAAGAGTTTTTGAAGCACTTAGGAACAGTCACAGAAAAAGGATGAGATTTAATTGAATGGCGAGTAACACGAGAATGAATTTTAGTAGATGGCACAAGAGACGCTAGCCCTTTAGAGCAGTGTCCATTATAGTATTTGTCGAAAAGAGAAAGAGAAGCAACATTACGACGATGTGACAGAGGATGAAGGTTGGCTGCAAGAGCAGGTCCAACTATGTTTACAATGCGTTTTTGCACCTTGTCTAAAAGAGAAAGGGCATCATTAGAAGATCCACCCCAGATATGGCAACAGTATTCCATACAAGGTCGGATTTGAGATTTATAGAGATAGAGAATAGAATCCAGAGTAAGAAAATGACAAGCTTGATAAAGAGAAGCAACTTTAGCAGATGCTAATTTTGCAACGTATTTGATATAAGGTTTCCAAGAAAGATCAGAAGTTAAAGATACAAAATGAATAATAATTAGGTGTCAGCATATCTCTGAAGGAAAATAGTAACATAATAAGTCTGCTATGCAAAAAAACAAGAAAAATGCTAGGAAAAAAAGATTGGAAAGTATGATGGGTATTTAAAAAGAATTCATTAGAAAAAATAACTTAAATATCAAAAAATAATAAAAAAATTATCTTGGTTTTTAAACAAATTTTAGTTGATCACTGAGTTAGAATTTTAAAAGTAAATTAAATCTTATTATGCATTAAAATTTTTTTTTTACTATTTTAGGATTTTATCATTTTTTCCTATTTTATATTTTTTAATCTTTTATCCTTAATTATTTCTGTAAAAAAGTTTTTGAAATTAAATTTTTTAAAATCTTGTTATTTAGACAAATATTTATCTTAAAATATACTTCTGAATCATTTTATCTTAAAAAATACTACATATCCTGATTCATTTTATCTTAAAATATACTACATATCCTGATTTATTTTATCTTAAAATATACTACATATCCTGATTCTAAAATATACTACATATTCTGATTCATTTTCTCCTACTACACTTTGAATTGTTCTTTAAACATTCTTTCCTGCCAATAGTTTTTAAACCAGGAGCATTTAGTGTTAACAACAATCTCTACCAAATAAATATTTATTATATTTATTCAGTTATTTATTAATAATTTTTTATATTATAATATTTTTTTTTTTTAAATTACTAAGCTGTCAAAACTTCATTCTAATTTAATGGTGTCATAAGAACATTTATTTATATTCAAGTTTTTAGATTTGATGCAAAGAACTATATTAATTTATTTTTTACCTGGTAAAGATGAAATGCTGTTCTCATTAAGGAGCAATGTTTCCAAATTCATAAGAAGACCGATCTCTGGTGGTAGTTTACTTATTTTATTCCCATATAGAAACAACTGAGTCAAACCAGTTAACTAAAAAGAAAACTTGTGTTCCTTATTATATATACAAACTGCTTTATGATAATGATGATTGATGATGTTTGATGTTGATGATGATGATGATGATGATGATGATGATGATGATGATGATGATGATGATGATGATGATGATGATGATGATGATGATGATGACAATATATAAGTTTTAAGATCATTAGGACTTATTAGGCTAATTGTTTACAATACCTCTTTTATTTCTTTTGGCATATTGACAATCTAAAAATAAATTTGAAAAAATTTTAAAAAGGATATAGCTTTAGTTTTTTCTATGGGATTACAAACTCAGCATATATACCTAGTTAAATAAGTTTTATTTAAAAAACAAATTATTATTTCAATTTATGTTTTCATTTTTTGTCAACTTCATTCATCACAACCATAGCAAAGTTATTAAAAGTTTTAATAAAAAACTCTAAATAAAAAAACATACATAGATACATATACAAACAGCATACTTTTTAGTGCTTAAATTAAAGACCACATTATTTTAAAAACAAATAATTTTGTTGTTGTTGTTGTTGCAATCCATCTCTTACTTAAGTAATTACAGCTTTAAGTATTTATTTAAATTTAACTATGCATACTTAATTAAACTATACTTAAGTACAATTTTGTGTGATGTTTAATGCAGACCTGTCACAGTCTTAAAAGAAACTCTCTCCATAACTCACTAAACTATTTAACAAATGCTTATCAGAACTTCCCTTTCCTGCTTGCATGAAAATGACATCTGTGAATTCAATAAAAAACTCTGAAGATGGCTCTAATCTCATAATTCTTCACAACTCACAACTATTCAACTCTGAAGATGGCTCTAATCTCACAATTAGTTTTCTTGCAGTTATTAGCAATACTTTTATTAGCAAAAATTATTTATCATACTTGTCGTTTTCTTACTCCTGATTATATTTTCTTCCTCTATAAGTCTCTTGTTTATCTTTGTATGGAGTATTGTTATTATAATTGAGTTGGTTCTACTAATGAGACTTTCTCTCTTTTAGACACAGTCTAAAAATTGCATTATAAATGCCCCTGTCTTACAACCATACATTCATTCATTACAATCATACATTCATTACAATCATTACAATCATACTGTCTTACAATTATGCCTCTGTATTACAATCATAATATTGTGTTGCATCTCTTTCTCTTTTCAGCGGACAATAGTTATTGGTTGCAGCCATGTTGGGAGTCAACTCATTTTGAAAAGAAAAGAAAACAACTTAAATCACCAGTAAAAAATATATATACATAATCACTTATCTCTAACAGCTACACCACATTTCTTTTATCTCTGCATTCATTGAAGAGTCTTGTGCAACAGTTAAAGATAAGTGACTACCTTCATTTATTTCTACAAATTTATAGACAAAAAGAGATTTTATAAATAATAATTTAGATAATATATAAAACTTAGAGAGTAAAAGTATTAAAGTAACAAGAATTTTAAAATATTTTATTTTAAAAAAAAATGTTGAATTTTGTTTTAAACTAGTGTTAAATAAGACTTTTAAACTTTTTTAATTCAATAAAAAACTATGATCAAAAGTTCATTTCAAATTAACCAATCAAATGTTAGCTCCAATTTAAAAAAACTTTTACTATTATTTCAAAGTAATCAAATAATATGCTTATTATTTCTCTATATTTTTAATATATAAAATTAATTAAATATTTTAATTAATGCTTTAAAATTCTTTAAAAAAATGCTTAAAAAATATTAAGTTATTATGTAACAGTAGAGCGCTTACTTTTTAAGCAAGAAATTTAAATTTTGAACCTCACACGTTCCTAGTTGTATTGCAATCAACTTGTTTCTATATGCAGCTGCCTTGTTCATTTAGGTTTGTATTTTTGAACTGTAGGATAAAAAGAGGCTGTAGGATAAGAGACAATTAAAAATAAAAATTATAGCCCTCAAAACTCATGACCCCTCAGCCTTAGGAGATTAATAAAAAGATATATTTGTTAGAAGTGCTGTATACTGAGTCAAGATTTTAAACTAAGTACAGTTTGTAATTACATAGAATTTGTAACAAACAACAATAATAAATTTAGTTCAATAAGATTTTTTCTTTAAAATTTTTATCAAAACTGATTTTAAATTGGTTAACTGTGCCCATTGTTACCACTCATTTTACCATTCCATTATTAAGTCTATATTTTGGTGAAGTTCAATAATTTCCATCTCACTTTTTTGTTTTTGTTTTTGCTAATGACAAAAGTAATTAGTTTCATCATTTTTTTCATTAGCAAAAACAAAAATAACAAATTTTATTAGAAATTTATATTGTACTCGTACAACTTCTCATTATAATTTTTTTCTCTATTATGACTGCACTATGAATTCTGTTCTTTAAACAGACGATAGTTTTGAAACCAGGAGCATTTAGCTTTAACAACAATATTTTGTAATCAACTGAATTAAATGCTTGAAAAACCAAGATATAAAATTACTGAGGCAAGAAAAAATGTGAGAGAGCGATGAGAAGCCTGACCTAAAAAATAAAAAAAATTAGATGATTAAGATCAATAGATATGTGGGTTATTCAGAATGATGAGTTATTTCAGTGATTAGGTATCAACAAGTAAAGAGTTGGCAGTTTTGGGGGTTCAGTACATACATCAACTGAAGGTTTGGGCAGATATTTTCTAGATTTCAAAACTTTTATTACAGCAAAAAAAACTTTGTTTTTTTCATTATTCTCTATTTTTTCTTCTTTTTTGAAAATACTGTTTGGATTTAAATCATTTTTAAACTTAAAATGTACAAAATATACTAGAATAGCATAAAATCATTTACGCAAAGATAGCAATCAATCTCATAAAAAACAACAGAACAGCATTTAATGAGGATGTTTTTTGTCTTGTGTGGCTTTAATGGCTGAGAAGACATCAAACCTTTTAATTTTGGATCTTTCAATTCAGAGTTCTCTAGAACTCTGGATTGAAAGTGAACTCTAACCACTACAAAATTAATATTGTCTTAAAAACATTAACATTTACATAAAGTACAATTTTATTTTTACAACTCATAATTTACTTGTAACAAAATTGACAAACTTGAACCCCACTAAGAGCTAGTACTATAATTAAATACTCTTTAAATGTAACAATTTACTTGAAGTCAATTTTATATATTTTTGGGCTGGGAGTTTATTCAAATACAGTTTATAAGAAAAAAATAATTTTTAATTATGCTATTTTTTAAACCAAAAAAAAAAAAAAAAAAAAAACAATTTTAAAAGTTTTAAATGTATTAATTTTTCTAAAAAAACCAAGAACAAGATTGTTAGAAACAATAAAAAACAATTTAAATAAAATTAAACATACCCCTAACTTAGATAAATTTAGCATTTTACTGCTTTCCTCTTTGCACTTCATAAGCCCTTTAACAATCTAATACAACAAAATTTATCAACAAAAAAAACTTTTAATAAATTAATTATTAACTAACTTCTTTAATTGAAACAAGCCTAATTTTTTAACTTACCATATTTATAGTAGCTATTTTTACATTATTTTTCATTATTTCTTTTAATAGAAGTTGAAGTATTATGGTATAGGTTAGAGGTCATATAACAACCATTTGATAAAAATTTAACAGATTAAAAAATATTTTTCTTTAATTACATAAACTAAATCTTAATTAAAAAAACAAACCAAAACCGATTTAAATAAAAGAAAAATAGAAAACAAAACTTAAAATAATGAATAATTTAAAGTACAAATAAAACCTTACAGAACTAGATTCTTTATCACCTTTGGTAGATTTTCTTTTAGTCTTCTTAATACCATCATCTTTTACATCAATTCTTACATGCCTGCTATGATCAGACTTATCTTTTGTATCTAAACATAAATATATATATATATATATATATATATATATATATATATATATATATATATATATATATATAATACTTTTTTGAAAACATTTCAAACATATTTGGGCACCAGTTTACAATATAAACTACTTAACATAATTTATATATGTATTTACTTATTGCATAAGCATACTTGAATCTGTTTCAAAAGTTTCATATGCTAATAAAAAAAAAAATCTATCTATTTATATATAAATAGGAGTACTGGGTAAGCATTGGTACACAGGCGTTTTAAATAAATTTCAACTTTTAAATGCTGATTTCAAATACTGTTTATAATCTTTTCTTCCACAGAAAATATACTTGGGTTTAAAGGTTTTGTTACCTGTAAATTTACAACTTACAAACATTAATTAAGCAGATTATAAAGAAAATCAGCAGCAAAATGAACAGGCATTAAATACAGGTAATAAATACCTGTATTTAATACCAGTATTTAATACCAGTTCATTTTGCTGTAATAAATACCTGTATTTAATA